GCTTTCACTCCATACCCATTTAAAAAAATCAGTTTTTACCGGATCGGCCCCCTCCCGACGCTCATGCTTCAAACTAATCGAAATTATTTCCAGCTGGCTCAGAAAAATTTCCGTAAAAGTCCAGAATAGTGGAAATTGAACTCAAAGTCAACTAGATTTTCATGTGCGGGACTTCCTGGCACGTTAACAAGTGTTGTTCAGGGTAAGATTATTTCCAGAATAGACTTTCAGGGAACCAGGAAATAGAAATATTTTTATAAATTTTACTAAAAACCCTTGAAATTACATCTTTGGGTTTCAATTAACTTGATTTTAAGTTTTGTTTTGCAATTTTAATCCATATTTTGATGCTTTTTGGTTTTTATGTTGATGTAATTTGCATATTTATGGGGGCAGAACTATGATGTCATCCAAGGCACCGAATCTCAATGTTGCACTGATTTGTGCACAGAAAATTTCTAGATTTTTTAACCATTGCTGTGGCAGATTTTATTTTCTTTGGCAATATATTGCTGTGTAAGTATATGGCAATAATCCAGCAAAAATCCTTTTCACAGAAATGTTCCCAGATAGCAAATTTGGGGTTCACAATTTGAACATGAAAACATGCAACCTGAACCATGTCTTCCTCACTGTATTCACATCAAAGCAAAAGTGCCCTCACTTGTCCAGAAATGCTTGGCCAATTTTTAATGTTGGAAAAGTGCCCCGTTCAGTTCACCTAACTCAAAAAAGATGTCAAACAGTCTTCATACATGGAAGAAGAGTACAGAGATACACAAAAAGTGATTCTAAGAAAAATTTATTCCCTGGTTCCTTTAAAAAATTTGACCGAAGGTTTCCTGTCTTGTAAATTAAAGCAAAGTATCACCCTCATTATCACTGCAAATAAGACCATAAGAATATGGGAAAACTGACCTCGACCCCCTATCAATGTTGAAAGTGCTTGGGAGGTGGTCGATGATAACATGTATTATTATGTCACTTGTCAGGGTTTCATGCAAAACGCAAGGGTGAACTGCACGTTCTGAATTAATGGTGCAATGGCAAGTTCGGATGCAAACTATAGTTCGACCAGCAATGGCGCTGGCGTAGCTAGGATTTTACTATAGTGGGGGGCGTAAAGGGGGCACCGGCATCGTATGGGGGAGCACCAGCTTTCAGTGGTGTGGTTTTTTGGGACACGTTTTTGTTAGCGTTGTTCAATATCCATTCATCCGGGTTTTTTTCCAGGGGGGGGGGCACCTGGGGGAACCGGGAATTTGTGCCCCCAGCCCCCTTCCCCCCATGGCTACGCCACTGTACACCAGTGGTCAGTGGCTTTTTAACAGTGCGCATGCGCAATTCAGTTACACTCGAACGACCCCAGTCGGTCAATTTTTTTTAATCTTATCGTTACTCACATTTCATTCTTGCAACCTCAATGAAACCTCGTATAATTATTTTCATGTGAATTGTTCCCTCTGTAATGATGAAATCGGCTGTTGATAACCAGCGGACCGGTAAGACCGTGCTCTGGGGCCTGGTTACAAATGGTCGACCAGATAGTGCAAACCATCCATCGTTCGGGCGGTGTTAGTCGGTCTATAGGTATTGTTATGCGCAGTTGAGTATATTATTTTGTGTATTATCTGCACAATAGAAATGTTCCTTATCATTATTATTATAGTCAACTCAGTATAGCCGTCGGTCGAACTTGCTCTACTCTGTAGAATCGAGGGCCCTGTTTCCTACGTCACACATCTAACACAGGTCCTTGATCCATTGTGATAGGAATGAGTAAAGTCGTTGTACATTTGATTCAAACCTGCCATTAGCGATGATCGCCGCTGCACAGATTGGTGGCTTAGGGCCGCCAGTACGTCTGTTTCCATTTGCCAGACCGTCTGTATTGTATAGTCCGCCGTCCGGTTACTTGACGGTAGTGGAGACACACATCTTGATCGGTAATTGGGCACGGTGGCACACTCAGTTTTGTTTCTTCAGTCAAGTTCCGTCTGTCTATAATCTTAAGTAAGAAATTCTAATCTGATACAATGGCAAGATGAATAAGTAGGTTTGTTTCTCTTTGCATGAGACATGAGAAAATTGTTTTGCAAGGAATGCGTCTGATCTGATTTATTTATATCTATAGTACGAGGTTTCTATTTTTCACACATTCACAATTTTTTAATCCCTCTTTTCCAACTGACTGTATTTGACACAATTTTGTATGCATAATTAACGTCTCAGGTCTAATTATTTTGGCCAAGTCTAACCAATTAAGTGTTTAATTGTGGTGCCGATCACGGGATGAAAAAAACGGTCTGTTTATCACTCTTGGAACTCACCTCTAGATCTTGTTATCCCGTAGGAAGAATAGGAACTGGGAGCAGAATTTTATTTCATTTTCTTGCAGAGAACTAGACTTCAGGGGATATTGCTCATCGAGGAAGGCATGCCAACAAGAAATGAAATTTAAATCTCAGTAGGAAAGCGATGCGCTTTAATGATCTGAAACGTATTTAGAAAGAACGGCGACGAAGAATTACTTCACGCACGAGTAAATGTACGATATCTTGTTTGGGCAGGTATGTGTATAAACATTATTCTTTGTGAATATTATTGATGAGGCTAGGTGGCCATGGGGAGTTAGGGGAAGGCGATAAATAATGCAAATTTCGCAAACGGAGAAGTTCGAGGGCGAAGTGGCTGTGATCAGAGAAACATGAGATGATGAAGAGATAGGATCTAATGGAGCCATGTCAGTGTGGTCTGCGAAAGGATCAAGAGGGGATACCGTAGTTAAATTGCAGAGGGGGTCGTCTGAGCATGCAAGTATAATTTTTCTGCGCATCTGAATTTTTGTTCGCGCTGTCATATATTAATTTAGCGAGATGGCCGTTAGTTAAAGGTAAAGTATCATCTCGTCCCAGACTTTCTACGTGTGTCGAGTGATGCTCCCTGTTCCAACTTCCTGTCCTCAAAAATGCAAATCAGGCATTTGCTATTTTGCAATTCTTATTGGACGGCACGTGCTTGTAAATGCTCAAGAAAAAGAAACTTTTGCCCTCTTTTTCTGTCCTCAATGGGAAGTGAATGGGGTCATGAACCGGTAGGTTACGACCATTTCTGTTTTGGGGGAGTGAAGACGTATGGAAAGCATTACGTAACCATGCTCTCTATGGACCAATCCCATACTGCACTATCAGTGTCCCTGTGAGGCAGAGAAAACAGCATCTCAAAGGAAATACAGTTTTACAATTATCATCCAATAGACACACAAGCTTGCTTGGTCCAAGGAAAACATGTGAATCTTTCATCATAAAAGATAGGGTGGACTGTAATTATTGGTTATATACGTCTTCAATCCCCAAGAAAGGAAATGGTCATAACCTGAGGTTCACGCCCGTTCACCGCCCTTGGAAGGCAGAAAAGCAGATGGCCACTTTTCGGCCACCTTTGTAAAAATCTGTTTTTCCGGTATCACAAAAGCAGAAAAGTTGAATTCACGGTTGTCGTCAAAATGTTCGATTCAAATCTCTGCCTGCTCGAAAGCAGAAAAACAAATGGCCGCTTTTCGGCCGCCAGCGAATGAAGAAAAATAGAAAAATGCATAAACCAAACAGTGTTAGCTCTGCTTCTTGAGTTGGCAGAAAAGTAGAAAAGTCAAAATTGCATGTTACCAGAACATAAAATCTGCTTTTCTACCATTCTGATAGCAGAAAAGCAGATGGCCACTTTCCGTCCTCCATAAACAGAGGAAAGTTCGGTGGAAAAAGACCACCCCTCAAAAAAAAAATAAAATAAAATAAAACAACAAAAAACCACAATATGGCATTTTACTGAGTTTGCCCACAAAAAAGTGTTGTCAAATTAATGGCTCACCCCGGTCAAAAAGTGACCGTTTATGTCCAGGACAGGTTCCTACATCCGTGGTCCATCGTGCACAACCGTCGTGACCTTTGGACACATATGCTGACAGACCTCAGTGGTGTCATTTCAGGGCAATGGGCCGAAAGAAAGACTGGCATCCGGTCCCTATTTGCCGGGTATCGATAAGAGGAAGTTGTTTAAATCCCCTCCTTCTTGATAGTCTTGGATCTTTACGCATACTAGGGGCGAATAATATCGTATAGAGGATTTGACGACCAGAAGTACATGGGCCCTAATATGGTGCGTTTTATAGCTCCATATTCATGCATGTCTGTTGGAAAATTGAGAGGCATTTGTACAAGACTCGCTGTGTAAAACACGAACACACAAAGTACATGTACATGTAGTGCAGCCTACTCATTCCCTTGTAAATGTACACGTAGGTGTACTTCAGCGTATAACTTAGTACATGTACACATTACATGCACATATGCATACATGTACGTACACGCATGTTATACTGTGATTGAATCATGATTGAATGCAGATGTACACTCATGTATAAGCCTACAATGAGTACTAGCACAGGCCTTCAAGTTCAAACGATACGCCATATCCGGTGTTCTTGATTCACTCATGGAGGTAGTCCTAGTGGGAAACCTCCATGATTCAGTGAATTGAAACAGCCTTGCGCTGCGTATACATGTACCTGCACATGTAGCCCATGCAGCCTACACCCACATGTATGGGCCGGCCTCACGCACGTACAGTGTACATGTACATGTACGTATGCATAGAGTAGTGTCGTCACAATGAAACCAGCTCACTTCTGTGTCAGTTGCATTGAGCTTTTACAATCGACATGATCGAGCGTACGAGAATGGTTCAGTAGTCAAACAAAAAAGCTCTATGATCGGAACCATCCATGATCTAGTGCTACGGATGGCTAGGCCGCGGGAGGGCACAGCAAACAGTAAGTACATGTTTATGTTTTGGGCTGTGTTTGCGGGACATGGATACAGGCTGAAAGCATTGCTCCATGTTCCAACCCTGACGATGGGAACCGTGGAACTAGTTTTGGGGTCGTTGTCGTGTCGTGTGTTGAGCCTGGTCCATGTACATGTACTGTACACAGCGTAGCGTGTATAGCCTGCACTTGTTAGTGTGGATCTATGATCAATCACACAGCATAGACGAGCAAGAAAACTAGATGAATCTATAATACTTAGTAGACCATAGCACCATACAAAGTATGGTCGGTATTGATTTTTTTTCAGTAGGGTACGTTAACTCCATACGAAGTGTTGTGCACAGAAGTCTGGCTGTATTGAAGTATTCCGTAGCATGTCAAAACCACCATCGTGTACTTGGTAGGAATTTCTCCAGAATTCTGGCTGCCATGCAGTACTACAATGCATGAATGGCCATCGCCAGCGAAAAGGACACCTTTTCCCATCGTTCTGGGTGTCGATGTCCAGGGCCAAGGCTGAGACAAGTTTGTTATCTAGCAAAACGACGTGGAACTTGGCAATGTAGGATTGTCGGGTAGTGTTTGATTCGATTCGACCATGTCGACTTTCTCATGATTTTGCATGGCTGAAAAAAAAACAGAGATCAGTCGAAGCGCAATGAACGAAGTTATGGGAAACTTTCAGGCAAATTTGCGTGGCGAGCGTGTTGGATACCCCTAGAATGTGGGAGCTGGGTGGACGTTGGACCCCACAAGGGTACGTGTTGGACAGACCGCAGGCGGTTCATCGCGTCCATCAGCCGCTGTCGTTGAATGCAGTGCACCTGCGGGAAGTTTCTCCTTGCGCTTGTCGGTCACCCGTTTACATGTACCTAGCTCTCACAGCCACTAGGGCCTATTTCTCCATCGTGTCACTGTCTACTTGCAGATGAGGTACATATACACATATCGTCCTTTTGTTTTAGAATATTTATTTGAATCCAAGAAGTGCTCATAATCTGACATTTAATATATCCATGGAGGAAGGAAAACAGAATCGGACAACGGTGGATCGATATTTAGTCGAGACGTTACACGACCAGATACAAGACTAGTCACAAGACCCAGGGAAATCACTGACAAAGGAACCCTAATACATTTAAATACCTATAGGCTACAGTGACTCGAATTCAGACCGGAGGTCTTTAGTTGGCCTTGTGATGATCTTGAGGGGATCTTACTGGATCTTAACCGTATAACACTGCAGTGGATCGTAGAGGATGTGACATAGAATGCAACGTATCTAGTGAAAGTCCTGCGGTTTCAAAACTATCTAACTATCTTTACAGGAAGTGTTTGAAATGATGCCAAGGTCTCGATAGAGCATGTCCATAATTACTAGCACTATTCCCGCTTGTATGCTAACACGGTGGATACTAAATGAAAAAGGCCGGCCATCCAATTCCACCAGAGACCCTTGAGCTCTCTTTCAAAACGGCATCGTAAATACCTATAGTGCAGCGAGGCACAATCCCTCAGTACAATCCGAACCATGCCACAGAGTAGTAGCAATGCTTGGACGACAATATCCCCTTTCGGGTTCGTAGGGCAGATGGGTACTTGTCTCTGAAACAGGATCTTCAATAGGGGCAGGTCCGGGTTATTTTCCGTCCATGCAGCAAATTAAAATGTCTGCCTGCATCCTACAAACGTGCTCCAAATTAAATGCACGATGTAAGCCGAAGTTGAATCGGCTTGTTAAATAAGATTTGCATGTTTTACCGAAAATAGATCACTGTTACAATGATTGTTGATAGATCAATTATGGCTTGTTATACAGTGCGGACTTGGTATATTGTATTCATGTATACGCTTTACTTGGAAGTACTGTAGTGTTACTACTCAAATACTTGAGCAGCGTAACCACTTCACACGTCTTGATGAAGCGAAGTTTATGTGCAGACACTTAGGAGACTTGTCCATGGAACGAAATGATAAAAGAAGGACAAAACATAATAATTTTATTGAACTCCTCAAATTCACAAAAATGATACAGAAAAGAAAGGAAAGCATTTCAAACGAAACAAAAGTATTCCGTGCTTGGTCAATTTCCCCCTTGTTCCCGTGCTTTCTGTTGGGGAAGAAGCCACGGTCATGTTGAAATAAGCCACAGTATTCCAGAAGTAGGTGCTGGGAATAAAATTGGAAAAGCAATGTAGTCTGTAGGAATAACTAATTATGAACCTGTGGGAAAATACAGTAATTTACTTGTGAAAAAATGTACTGAAACAGCTCAGCTGTATTTGATCGACAAAGAATATTTTTACTCTGGAGAAAATTTGCAGAGCAATATGGCTCCCAAATTTGTAATCAGACAAATGGATGTGACTTTTTTGTGGACCTTTTTGGAAAGGGTCTATGCTCTCTGAAAAATCTCTGGATTGTCCGTAAATTGTTAGAAGTACATGAAGTCACTGTCATCCATATTGCTATTTTACGAATACGTATTTGTGAACATTTTTGGAATAATTGAAGTGGTGAAACTGGTTCCGTAATTTTCCTCCTGCATATTCTATAGTGGAGAGGGTGAGGAACAAGTCGTATATAGTTCACTCGTTGGTACAGCTCAGAATAGCGAATGAGCTGTCCAGCTTTTTCACATGGAGACTGGAGAGTTGAAATTAGTTGGGACGTAGGTCAATAGGCGTTGACAAATAGACACACAGTTTTCCTAGTTTTATAACTATTGGGAAATTTATCATATGACTCCATGGATAGACCCTCTTTCTAGGTACGTGTCATCTTACGCATAAATTATCTTCCAATTTAGAAATGCATGTAGCTTGAGTAACGCACATACCATTCTTTTAATGAGTGGTGTGATAACCTTGGAAATCTTGAATCTTTTAAACTTGTGGTGATCTTTATCTTCTGTTCCGGTTTCAGTTTAGGTGGCGTGTTTGTTGGGAGAAACCTTTGTAGCCTCACCCAGTGACAAATGTAGAAATGTGTTTCTCTGCCAGTCTTTCCGCCAGCCTGCGCCAGGCTAAGTACTCTTCTGCAGACTGAGTTTCCGGTGTTTTGGGAGTGCCTGAGTCCCCCTTAAAACTGTTAGATAATTTCTCAACGAATTTTCTGGACAGTGTCCACGTAATGCACTGTGGCTCCTAACTTCCAAAAAAGTAAACATATTCCAATTGTGGTGTATACATGATCATACTTTGTGCAACTTTAAAACCCGCCTCAATGTTTCCATGGAAACTGACAGGTATATTATATACGAAAGTCCGGCTGCATGCAGACCCCAATGCAAATGTTATGCAGCTGCGATAGAAATCTTCGCTACGGTGACAAGATGGGATGATGAGCTTAGATGGGTTCAGTAAGGCCTGAAAAGCTACGGGCGATGACTGCTTAAATTTAATTTATCCGATTGTTGCAATAATCAACCCCGGGCCAGAGCCTTTCATTTTTAAATAAAAATGAACATGTTCTGAAGATAAATTTATAAAAAGGAAAAAGGAACACACGTTTATGGGCTTTGCTACTAAATTGGTTCAAAATTGAAAAGTAAAAAAAAATCTAAAGAAATAGCACTGAGCTTATGTGAGGAAATCAGATACTTACGTGATGTACTGTATCACAAAGACGGTTTCTATTCATTTATGTTGCATAAAGTGCTCTAGAAAGATTATGCATGTCCCAAGATTCGGCGAGGGAGTGTTACCAGACGTATACGCGTCCACGGAATATGTATTCACAACATTTGCATTAACGCTGTTGTATGTTTGACTCGATTTATAACAGTGCGCGAAGTTAAATTATACGAGCGGAGGAGCGTTTGTATTTCAACAGTTCCATGCAAGGGGTTTAAGATGCGCATGGTGCACCAGAGAACGGTGAAGTTTAAGTGTCTTGTTCGTTTGCATTGGCGCCGGAATTGCCAAGTACACATTGAACTAATATTGTTTTCCTAAATACATGTATTTATTAATAATGTCCACACACACAGCCAGTCCGTTCCTTATAGCTCCACGGACGTAATGTACACCTCTCGTGGTAATAACATTGGAATTGTTGACTCGCTAGAGTATTGTCTACCTAGGCGTTCAACGACAGCGGCGGTGCCAAACCTTGTGCTACGACTGCGGCGGTGCCAAACCTTGTGCTACGACAGCGCCGGTGCCAAACCCTGTTCGACCCCAGCAAACGTCTTTCCTTCCTCTAATTGAATCTGATAATTTGCTCGGCGATCCGTGCCGAGCTGTTGGCGCAATTGGCGTCCTTGCCTGCTAATACCTCGAGAGTTTTGAAGGGTACTTGACGCGATGAATTAATAGACGTATTTTTTGTGCAACGTTCCTCATAAATTTCCGCGTATGAAAAAACTGTTTGACATCCTTGTGGAGTTAATTGGATGTATAGAAAAGATCACTTTTCAATCATTTAAAATTCTCTGGTTTTTAATTTCCTGAACAATTATTGATGGCATTGTTATCATAATTTCCTGAACAATTATTGATGGCATTGTTATCATGATTTCATTCAGGACAGACTCTGCTCAGTTTAACTAGTTTTCATGTTCACATTGTGAACCCAAAATCTGCTCATCGGAAACATTTCCGAGAAAGGTTGTTTGGTGACTTACTGCCGTAGGCAATAAATCACTGTAAAGAAAAGGAAAATTTCAGCAGTTTTTTGTGCATAAATCAATGCAAAATTGGAGATATTCTGCGTGGATTTACATCACAATTTTTGCTCATGAATATGGAAATCCACAATAGCATAAAAACCAAAATGCACCTATATGCTTTTTAATATAAAACACATAGGTAAAAACTCGAGGGTATAAATCAGTAAATATGTTGTATTGGATGTACCCTTTAAAGGAGAACTTTGATCGCATTAGTTAGCTTTGCAGGTGTTGATTCTCACGGTATGTTGTCATTGTTTGGCGAGTTTCATTCATTTATTTATCCACTGGCTAGGTACTGTAAATAGCACGTTAGCGTATCTAACTCATGCACTATGTCTGAAAATATTAATACTCGATTAATCGGTCAATTTATTGATTCTTTGGTAACTTGTTTACTTAGAGCAAACGATTATTCATCTGTTCGGTTACTCAACCCCCCTTTTAAAAGAATGGTAAGATAGAATATGAGACAGACACAACCACGTGTACGTACACGTGGTTGACAGGAGTAGTCAAACCCATTTACATGTAGCCCCCTCCCCCAAAAAAGTAAATAAAATCAACAAGGCAGACCGTTTGCGCCTTTGCGATAGGCTCTCTATTGCTTGAACATGATAGAATCGGCTGTTCGATTAATCGAAACTGTAATCAGATAAAAAATCAAAAGTGAACGATCAATAGATTAAAAAAATACAAAACTTGTGGGCACTATTGACAAGCCATCAAAGCATTCGCCACTTGTCTTGCAATTGCTGTTGGTAGATTAGGGGGGCTTGGCCTGCCTTGATTTGAATCTCCCATTAATCCAATACTCCTTCCAATAATTATGTTTCCAGCTTTGTCTGTGCATGCACTGGAAATAATATAGCGCGCACGCACGTCTCTTACAATGCAATTGCCGTTGAGGCTGTAAATTAGCCATTACAGAAACGTCTAACGCACAAAGAGGTGTCGGTCTGGCATCACTCTGGCAACCGCATACACCCAATGTTTTCCCGCCGAGCAACCATGGAACGATCGCTGATGCAGGAAGAGTGTTTTAGTTGTCATGGAAACGATCTCTATTCATTTTGCGAAGACACTTGATGGGTCTTCCCGAGTGGCGTTAAAATTTAACCTTGGGTAAATACATCTTGTGCGTTTGAGTGGTGGAAAACGACATGAACCCACGCGGCAAAACGGTGGAGTGGAAGAAAAGTATGAGTGGTATATATACGCATGAACTGCGTGCGTGGCGGTAAACACGGCCAGGCCATCACAGGATACAGTTCATTCCTGCCTTTTTTCTGCTCCAAGTAGAGGTTAATTGCTTCAACACGTGATGAACTATAGCTGTACGGTATTTTTCAGTATGCCACGCCGCACATGATCTGTTATGTTCCTGTTCAGTGTGCTCAGCTGCGGTGGAGACACACCGCGCTTTACTGGGATGTTTGCATGGGGAAAGATAGTCTTGTACTTGTATAGCTCACCACTCAAAAAGTATTAGGGTGGTTGTGTTGCCCGGTATGGCAAAACTACAATCAAGAAAATTACCAGAGAGAAAAGTCATGGAAGTTGGGAAGTTGGCAAGCGACCCAACTTCCCAAGGATGTATCGATACCAAAGCTTGGGACCTAATATGATCATTAAAACAACGGGAAAGGATACTCCATGTTTCCGTTGAAATGGAAAAGGAATGCAGAAATTGTTCCTCACTTCTGAGAAGATGGACCGTATGGTTGAAAAACCAGCCATGAATCGAACAGCGAGAAATAGCCATATAGTGAAGCGATTATATAATATCCGATCATAATTCGCGTGCCGCGAATACATGAAATTCATTCGATCGAGGAGGCGAATGAAACGTCGAGAGCTGCAAAGCATATATCCATCTCAGTGAGACAATGAATTGTGAAATGAGACAGGTACGGGGTCTTCATTTGGAAGTGCCACACTACTGTGTACCGGTGATTGATGTCACTGAAGAAGTCTGATTTTTATCTTGGCCGACAGTTTGAGGTCATTTGTCCTCCATTCAGTTTCAGTATTATCTTTTTTTTGACACAACTTTTGACAAAAAGTATAAGCTGTCGATTTGTTGAAGCGGAAGAGAAAAATCCAAAGGTGGAAAGTCAACTTTAAATCAGTATGACGTCTTTATCTGGATGGAAAATGACATCATCCGCTTTATCTTTTTTCCGTAAGTCATGCTCAGTAACTCGACCTTTTAAAACAGAGAATGATGCGCCCGAACGGTTTGCTTTGTAAGCCAATTAAAGCGACCCTCGTTGTTTATTGCGGGAAATTTGTGCGCATGTTTTGTCTGGAATTGCAATTTGTCTAAAATGATAATGATATGAGGAATTCTTACTTCAAGCGTTGTAGCTTAACTGAGAATTTGCATGTTGGCGATAGGCCTATATTAATAATGAAGCGTAGATTTTGGCTCGTGTGATGACTAATGACGTTTTTCTAAGCGCTGGACGGGGAGAAAAAAAACGGTCGTGAAATCGCGATGATAATGGCGTGATGCCTATGTTGTGAACTCACTGATAACGTTGCAACGACGCCGTGATCATTTTAAAAAGATAATGTAATGATGAATGAGCTGGCTGATGAAAAGGGCAACTTCATTAAAGAGCCCTGCAGTGGCCTTTTAAAAATGCACCTTGATGTCCCTGTTGAAAATTTTCGTCTTGACATTTCAAGACCATTGTGGTGTTTTTATGATTTCATGCAAATGCAGGGTTATTCATGAGCAAAAGTAGGATGCCATTCCAGGAAGAAATCTGAAGGATATTTTCCTGTAGACTTAAATTTGCCAAGATCGTTGTGTCCCTTCAAATATTCTTTTCCCCGACAATTCCTTGCCAAGTCAGGAGGCTACACGCTATTGACATTGTGTGAACACTGATAAGAGTATCCCTAAAAAAAATTATCAGCAAACCTCTAAGAACAGTATCTTTCTGAAAAAAGAACGCCGTCATTACATATCGTCAAAAAAGGCGTCAAAAAGTGTACGTTTCAATGAGATTAACCTAAAAGGGATGGCAGATTTTTTTAATATAAATACACTGTTAGAGTTAATAGCCTTGCACTATGTTTTCGAGTGCAAATCATGACATTAATGTTTAAGTTTATAATCTACACACAGCGACGTGCTTACTTCTAGGGCTGAGTCAATTCATATAATTCACTTTTCGAATATTCGGCCTTCAATTTGATCGAATTTCTGAATATTCGGTCGCACTGACCGTTGTTCATGAATAAACCATACACAAAATCAGTTGCAATAACATACACAATTGTACATTATGATCAATATAATAGCTTCTCACATCTCAAGTCACGATTTAGCAAGATTTAAGAGATGAACAAAACTTCTTGCCCTGTTGAAAATTTCTGTTCCTTTTGACTTGTTTAATGAATAATTTACTTTTTAAATCGTTGTAAGATTTCTGACGCTTTTCATTTGAATCTGCTTGAAACAAGCCGCCATAGTGCAATTTTTCTCATTTAAAGCAAAAGAAAATTTCCCCTTCCTTTTTGTGAATTTTGCATTCGAATATTCAAAGTTGAAAAATAATATTGGAATATTCGACCGTTAATCGAATATTCGGATATTCGGCACAGCCCTACTTATTTCTTGAATGAATGAGTCGTGACGCTGTGGTGGCTGGCCCCTCCCTGAATATGTATGCTTAATAATCCGAAGATGAGGTTTACATAATATGCATGCTATTCGTCATTGATACCATGCTGCCTCTCATTTCCGGATATTGCTTTAAATGAATTTTTCATAGCGGTGTCTATCTTTGCGTTAATGAGAACAGCGAACAGCTGTGAGCTTCTGTCCAAATAAAATTACCTCTCAAGCTGTCCAAATATTAGCGACAGTAGATCAAATTGCGAGATGATTATGGTATTTGTGTTAGTCGTGTAGAGGCCGTCTGTGTAGACAGATTTCCCGTATTGTTCAACTGTGGATGTCTTTGTATATAGAGTTTCCTTACCACTCATTCTTCAGACGTGAATATTAATGGTAGTGGACGCCATAGGGACTTTGGAACGTGCACTCAATCACAAGTATGCATTGCGACTTACGTTCAATCATTACATGGAGAACAGTGCTTTGTGATACGGCGTGATGCACGTAAAATCGCTCAAAGCGGTCTGCAGTGCACATTTGTATTCAAACGTAATCCCCAGTATGAACGTCAATTAGATTGATCAGGCCCTAGTGCCCAGACGTCAAACGACTAGAGATTTTTTTTTGTTGTTCTCAACAGGAGATAGCCAATCAGATGTCAAAGCGATGACGTCACGTTCCAGGCTGTCCGTCCTCTTAGTGATGGTTCTCCTCACGTTGCTGAGTGTCTTGGTCTACTTGCAGAGTCCATTACAAATAGGACTAGCCAAGCACATGGCCGGAGGTAAGACTCTTATCGAGACATTTTAACCCAGTTGGGAAGTCGGATTTGTGAAAGTGCCCTTTTGTAAATAAAAATTAGTAACAACGCATGGCTTGCAACAATCGCATTGTTGCTAGAAGTTTGATGAAACAATTCTCTCTAGGGCCTATATAGGTCAGTTTTTGAGGTTGAAAATGGAAATCTACCAACTTCAGTTACTCAACACAATACAGAATCGTTGTGCCTTGCAGTTTATAGGCGCTTGCCTCAATCGATCATCAAGATGGTGCAGGCATCAAATCAGAAAGTTCTCTTATGAAGCAGAAACAAAGGCCTCTGCAGTGAAGGGAGACCTGAAATACTGTGAAATATTTGGGGAAAGAAACATTTTGGATTTAATCAGACTTGGAAATAATCAGTAGTGGGCAGATTGAGGGCAGTGGCGAGTTGCCCAAACGTCCTTCCTATTGACTGAGTTGGAAATACATGTACATGGATGAATGTTTTCCGATATTCAAACATGTGGGCAGTGTCTTTCTACTGAAGCCATTTTGAAGAAGTGCCATGACAGATGTTACCTTAGTATACTCTTGACTGTGCCACAACAGCAGCACCAGTGGCACATCGAGCCTTTGAATGGGGAAAGAGGATTTTCGTCTGAAATAATTGTCCACTGTTGGAATGAAATCCTTTCAGTGCGGGGGGGGGTGCTAATACCATTTTTAAAATGGCAACATGTCCCAGAGGAAAAGGACCCTGTCAGTCCGTGACCCAGATACAGGAGGGATGGGGCTTGTTTCCTTCTCAGTCTAGCCGCGTGGCATCGCTATCTCACCGACGGAATCCCATGAGTCCGTGTACGCGGCTAGATGCACAACTGGATTTCATAACCAATCAGCATCCACGATAAAGTGGAAGCTCGTTGCGCTGTGGCCGACCTCGTTATTTATGATTCAAAATCAAAAACAAGTTTTCTGAAAATAAAAGTGGAATTAAAAGGTATTGGTACATTTCACTCTTACATTTCTCGAAAATCTTCGTTTTGTTGACGAATTATAAATGACAGTGAGGTGGGTGTAACAGCATGACCGATTTCCATTTTTACGTAGAACTGCCAAAAAGTAATCAGAAGTCAATCGAAACTGCTATGCAGGGTAGATGTAAAGACTGAACAGCTCCAAAGCCTGTTTAAAATATTCAGACGCCCAGAATAATTTTTGGGTTTGTCCATTATTTCGTGTTTGTATCGGTCTTATCTTTTTTTTTTAAGTTTCCACTACTGGCATAGATCTTTGAGAAATCAAAACAGTTGTAAGGCGTGACCTATTGCCAAAATGTATCAATCCTCACTTTCCTATATTCGGTTGTCTAATTGTGTGCACAGAGAAGTTCCCGACACACCAGAGGCACGTGAGTGACGTTATGAGATCGACACTGTTACCCCATCTGCTGAGGAATAGCACGGTAAATATCAATATTTATCTCCGCTCCGCATTTTTTATTGTTGTAGAAGCGAAAAGGTAGAATAATTTAGGGTTTTGTCTTTGAGGCCCGCTTCGACATCATTCTGGAATACATTGTCTTGGTGCAGTTATTACTCATCTCCATATTTCACAGTTTCACTATTAGGCTGAATCTTTCATTTTGTTGTAAACTTAGCGTCTACAAGACCTAAAACATAATGACGTCATGCTGTGTTTACATGTCCGCTTTCCTATCGGAGCTCGATGGATTGCATCCCACCTCGCTGCCACAGGGAAGCACATGTATACATGTTCACAGGTCTATCGTGAGATGTGCACATGTTGACAATAAGTTCTCGACATTAACAGGAAAATGTCTGTTTAATTGCATCGTGTGGTACATTTTTTGTACACTCCAACTTGTGTGTTCATCTTCCTTAAAAAGCAGTAACTATATCCCCTGTATTGGGCACTTATCTCGTTTGTCAAAGTCAAACTGAGAAGATTTTAAGGCACCTCTGACGTACGATTTTAATGGAGTCTTTATCATTTGTACACCAGGGAAGGGCCAATTCCTCTCTGACTGACTTGCACACAGTTCGGCCGACCGTTAGTTTTATGGTCGCCAAACGTAAGGAAATGAAGACTCGAAGGGACGTTCTTCGTAAGGCATGTCAACACTACGGTAAACAGGTGTCTGGAGATCTTAGGAAGCACCTGTCTGCAAACATTTTTGTGGATGATGAGCACCGGGTCGTATATTGTGCCGTGCCGAAGATAGCTTGCACAAGCTGGAAAAAAGTCTTCCTCGTGTTAAACAAATCTTTCCAAAGCACTTCAGAAATATCACAGTATTTCGCCAACCGCGACGGACAGAAGATGCTGACTAGGTTGAAAGACCTTCCTCCATCGGAAATGAGCAGAGTGCTGAAATCCTACGATAAGTTTTTGTTTGCCCGGCACCCTTTCTCGCGCGTGCTGTCGGCGTTCCGGAACAAGCTGGCGCCGGATTCGACTTTTGAAAGAGCCGGTGTGTGGCAGCGGACGGTCGGCAATCGGATTCTGGGCATATACCGGGAGAACCACCAGTCAAGTTCGGATGGCTACGACCTGACCTTCGAGGAGTTCATCCGGTACCTGACCGACCCGGCGGTCCCATCCCAGACCTCCTCCAATAAGCACTGGTCAAAGATCTTTGATCAGTGTCTGCCCTGTGACATCGACTATGACATCATTGGCAAGTTCGAGACGCTGAGGGAGGACAGTGAGTACATCCTGCGGCTCATCCACGCGGAGCATGTGACATTTCCAGGATCTGAGTCGAGCAGTCCCACCGGCAGCTCAAACCAAACTAAGCTCGAGTCGTACTACAAAAACGTTCCACTTGTCGACCTGCAGAATCTCTACAAGAGGTTTAGAGTTGATTTCGATCTGTTCGGTTATGATCCTCCCACTCTGGCATTCAAGGGTAGTTAGCACTCGACATCTGGCATTCAAGGGTAGTTAGCACTCGACATCTGGCATTCAAGGGTAGTTAGCACTCGACATCGTGTGTAACATCCTTCAAACAGCACTGTGTGATTTGGAAGATTTGCTGCTGAAGACTTTACTACGTTAGAAATTGCCTCGGTCAAGTCTGATTCGCTCGACGAAACCTGTTCCGTTCTACATGTGTGGTGCTCAAAGCGCTTTGTGCAAATTATTCCTGCCAGTTATTGTCTTTGTTGATATTGGCTGTGAGAACAAGTTTAGAGAGTAGTTCGAGATCAGGGCGATTTTCCGACCCTCACAGACACCTATTTGAACTCCTGAATGGACAAAAGACAACCGCACAATAGTAAAACATCTTGCCTAAGAACACACGAACGATGGTAGACCGTTACGTACCATGGGTCAGTTTGTTTCACATGGATCTGGATCTCGATCAGTGATCCTAACGCTGGTTCGCACCATCCATTAGGAGAGTTTTGGTGTCCGTAAACCAACAACGGATCACGGATCATAATCCAGATCTGTGTGAAATAAACACGGCCCATATAAACCGGATCATAACGTGTTGATCCGTATTGTGCGAACAATGTATACGTGTATATTATTGTGCTATACAGAGAATATATTTTTAAATACCGCTTTCAGAGAAAAGGGAGTAGTGTACGAGTATCACATGGGGAATATTTTTGACTAGGGCATTCCAGTGGTCCAGTGTGGTTTTTTTTATGCGAAGGACGTTCATGTTGCATTCCAGAATAATTTTGGTTGAAATATATTGGACATACAGTGACATATTGTACGCCACCTTCATTTGTTGACAGGACAGATCGTTGAAATAATCAAGCAGTGATTTGTAGCTTTTTATAACGACTTTCTTTTTTAAATCAGATATTTATACTTTAATCATATGCATATTTTTGAGAATCATTTCCAACTTTGACCCTTTAGGGACATGTTTGATCTGGTTTCCTGACACATCGCTTTAAACGAAACCAAGGGTTAGGTCGCCGCCGTCCAACGATGTCCAAAAACTGAGTGCTTTCTGTCGACATGTCGACGTTATCATTAGTTTTCGGCCGTTTTGGGTTGTAAAATTGCTTTCTCCAACGACAAAGCGTATGCCATCGTGTTTGCCAGCCGAAACCTGTGGGAGCAAGCTTTTGTTTCACGAAATTCTTGGTAGTGGGTTAAATTCTTTGAGGTAGGCACTCAGACGAGGGCATTCCAAGCCTTCCCGTGGTCATGTGCCATTAATGGCGATGATTGCTATCTGTAGGTAGTGCGGCTAGTCAGGGAACCAGACTAGTATTGTGAGATGGAAATCTCACCGATTTGACTCGACAGTTACATTAACTGTACGTTTTATGCAACCAAGTAATGTACATGTAATCGGCTGACATTTCAAAGTCCCGACTACCTGACAACGTTGTCTTCCACGTGACATGTATTCATTGAAAGTAATAGGATCAAATTTGGCACAATGCATTTATTGAGGAATTGTATATTTTTGGTGAAGACTAAATTTTTAGTTATTTAGCAGACCTGTTTTTTTTGTCGTATGTTTAAAACGTTTATGCTACACCGTAATGCGATGTAACTTTCTGACGGAAGTGGTTACAATTACACCATTACAGAACAAATACTGACAGAAAGTGTGAAAGGGAAAATATTATTGAGAACTGTTATTTCATGTGTCATCAAATCAGCAGGATACGATGTGTTACTGATTGACGTGAGGAGCCAAACTTTACAATCAGTGCATCTGGGGCATTAACGTATAAATCAACGACATTCAATAAATTATCCATACGTTTGGTTTCTAAAATTACTAACTGAGGAAGAGAAATGAAATTTCTTGGAATTTATTATGATGCTGATTTGGGTATATATTCCTCATCGGCATAATTAAGTTCCTGCACATCAGCCGTGTGCCCACATCAGGTGGGCTGTGATTTCATTTTTCTCTCTTATTTATACCAATTGTGTCCATTTCCTTGAGGTGTTCCTGCGGTGAATGTTGTAAACACACTTCGTGTGGATCTTTTAACTCTTCTTCATGTATGAAAACCATTTGACGTCCTGTCTTGATTGAAGTGTATTGAAAAAGCGCACTTTTTTAAAACGTATAAAAGTTGTCCAATCTTTTCTGGACAACAGAGGGCGTGGTCATTGTGGCGTCGATCAGAGAAGACGCAGTTCAGGTTCCTTGTTTGTTTTTTTCTGTTCATATTGCGAACCCAGTATTTGCTCATTAAAAAAAAGGTTGCTCGTGTACCTCCACAACAATAAGTAACCAAAGAAAAGACAATTTAGGACATCAAGATATCAAAAATTCCGGCATGGGTTTCATACACTCTGAATGTAAAATTGAGGGGTTTCCTTACAGGATGGCAGCACAGTTTTGCTCTGGGATACTGGAATTTGCATTAGCATTGAAACCACATAGGCGCTACAACGCCTTTTTAAAGTAAGAGATGACAAAATGAAAGAAAAAGTTATTTTTAGAACACAGAGGTTCATTTTTACAGGTTACAGTGAGTATTACCGGCGATTCACAATAGTGCGCATCCAATCACAACGCGCGAAATCTGTCGACCCTTTCTAAACGCGCATCGGGTGGACAGATTTTGCGCACTGTGATTGGCCAACGCGTTGCAAACTCTTGGAGGCGCACTAATTGTGAATTGCCCATATTGCGTTGCACGGACCCTTAAAGTAATGGCTGTTGATTTCTTTTCTCATCTGGATGTTCTTTGTCATACCTCGATATATTTGTGTAGCTTATAACAAAACTGCTGGCAGGTCTGACTTGAGTCGATTTCTTTCTTTCCATTATTTTGGGACGGTGCTGTTGTTTTCTAAAAGTAACAGTACTTATAATCATGTCATGATTCAGTGTGTTTCTTTTGTTTTAAATCGGCGAAAGACGACACACTGCCAGAAAAATAATGTCATGCAAATGAAAAAAAATCAAATACAATGTATCCAAAGATGAGAGAAAATTGCGCGTCGGTGTTCTTATTCTTTTTTTCTTGGCCTGAAATCCCTGCAATACAATATACATAAGATAACGTCCCAATCTTCTTATCTGCTAAGGCATTTTACATGTCATACCTTACAAAACTAGAACGACTTTAAACCTGACACATGCAATATAACATAATACGCAAAGCTGGGTATTCTTTAGAAAGTTCTTGTCGTTTTCATAACGCGCATGTTTAAACGTGGGCCTGCGGTCTTCCTCTACTTTAAATAATTTTTTGATGTGGAGAATTCTTCATGGAAGTGATCACTTTGGGGCGCGCAGTAATGTCCCATCCCATTCTCAAACACGGATGCGCTGCTGTCTTGTTTGACTGTAAGAGCACAAAGTTATTGGTTGTAATGTAGAGCCTTCATCTTCCCCTCTGTGGCAGGAAATCATCAAGCGCAGTCAAGAGAGGTTTAACTGCTCCTGTCGGCTCCATAGACAAAGCGCGGTTACCAGCTCCCGTGTTGAAGACCCTAGACATTCTTTGTACACAGTGACCGCCACTGCCAAGTAGCTGGTAACCCACAGACTCGCCATGTTTCGCTGCGGCATACTGGAGTAAATGAATGATGGAAAAGATGCACGAAGAAGGTGCGCAGTTCTCTTTAGTAGCCCTCAGGAGTCAGCGAGTGATCTCCGCAGATGCGCTCGAAAATTACAAATCAACGGTGGTTATTTGGCAAAAGTCGGACGTTTCTGAAGTCAGTTATGACATTTTGCGTTTTTGGCGTTAGAGAGCAAATACCTAAAATATGAACTGTGATATTGATATCATAAGTCACAATCGTAGTGGTTCCTACGGTTAAAAGAAGGTGGAAACATGCTGCAGGAATGCATTTGACAGCGTGGTAAGGTTTCATGCCCAGACAGTTGTGAACAATGACAGAAAGGAAAACGAATCTTCCCATGTTTTTGTGTGTTTTTTATTTTCGTCTGGACCAGCTACATTCAGTTCTCTCAGTTTTCTTGTGCGTATTTTTTGGAGAATTTTACTAGTTAGTAATTTGTTTTATTCTTAAGAGAGACGTTTTGGGGATGTAAAGACGTAACCAGACTTTCATTGTCATTGGAATATCAGGCCAATCACTAAAATTATCGAAATTTAAGTCTCCGATGACGATGGTTTCCGTCTTAGGGCGGCCATGATGTTGAACATGCGGAAGTGTTACTGACACGCATACGCGGTACCCACAATCCTTTGCAAATGCAACTCCGAGCATTCCTTGTAGCCCACAAGCTGCGTGGAGTTTGTTTTGTCCTTGCAGCGCGTGCACTAGTGCTGGCGGTGGCCATCATTGACCCTTTTGATCTCTGTATGTGCTGACTCCTTCGTGTGTTTAATAGCTCCATGTTAACAGTGACTTATTTTGGAACCAACAGCTTCAGGGCTGGATAGGAGACTACTAATGTCACATCATGTTCCTCAGAACCGCTCTCACTTTGATCAGTTCAGGGTTATCTCGTTTTGGTTTTCTTAAATTCAAACTTTATGTTCGCAAGCCCTTTCTTAAACCTGCTTCCCTTTGAAAACCATATTATTTTACAGTACTTAATTTTTGAGCGATGATATTACATGTCCAATTACATCTGATAAAGCCGCGTGGCCTGTAATGCTTGTTGAGGGCGCCCTTTGAAAACATTAGTAGTCTGGCGCCCTTGTGGTTGGTATTCATAGTATTTAGATACTGTCATAGAAGTCTAGTAATTCAACTGGGTATGATAATACGGTTGATTAATACAATGCTCAATGCTGTACTGACACGTCATAGAAAACCGGCCCAGATATTTCTCGTGCAATTCAACCACGTGTATGTGGACCAGGCAGGGTTGTTGAAATTAAACACAAAGGATAAGTTACCCGTTTGTACTTATGAACAAATTGGGACCACAGACAGCGATCACCATTTCTTCGGACGCCTGTGTAACTGATGCCGTGCATATCTTCAGAACGGAAGTCGCCGATCGCCATACGTCTTCCGGATCCCCCGAACCTAAAAAAATCAACAGCGAAATGCAGCGTTCAGACGAAGGATCCGTCAAAGCACTCATCGTCTGCTTTGTAGGAATTTTTGTGTGCTACTTCTACTATGGAATTCTACAAGAAAAAATGTAAGTAAAGAATTTCATGAATTTGTAAAAGCACAGTGACAGATCATGGACATGACTGATGACGTAGGGTTGAAAAAACCGAGGAAAGAGTTCCGCATACCCGGACATGATGCTACAAATGAGTACTACTGTGAGACTGGTCTGAGCATGGAGGTTCCTTCCGACATGGTCTGAGTGAAAATTCTGAGTGTTTTCTACTTTTAAATGCTTCAATATGCTCACTGCTGAATTTGCCATTCTATGACATGTTATCACTTTCTGATTGTTAATAATAAACTACTGGTACTGCAGGGAAAGCTAGCAATATGGATCTCTTAGTAATTCTGTTCATTTTCATATTCCTTTTTGCATTATTTATTGCTTTCTATAAATAAAGGAATCCCCCCAAACAGAATTGTTTTCAGCTCCAATGAGTAAAAAAAATAAGTTGAAAACTAATGTAAATCATAAGATTATATTTAAAACATTAGACAATGAAATGATAATAATTGTGATTAGAAGTACAAGTACAAATTTAATCAGCAGACATCTGCAGTTTCTCCAAGTGTCTTCTACCTCATGTGAAACGTACTCTGCATGTACTGTGATGTATTACCAATTAGTGATTACATGAGGGTAAACCAGCTTCTCCCTCAGGGATGTCGGTCACTTCGCCCCTAACCACTTCGCCCCATTTCCACTTCTCCCCATTAATTATCGTTCATTCTGTTCTTCAGTAGATGCAACAAGTAAAAACATCGACGTTTGAGTACTCAAATAACAATCGGATAATCCAACTTTCAAAGGCCTAAACAGTGATTCCAATTTCCCGGCCGCCGGACCCAAATTTTTTGGCGAGACCCTACAATTTTTTTTGTCAAGTTAGAAAATAGATTTTCTTCGTGTTTTGTTGTCGCTGTGGTAAAAACACAAGTGCAAAGCGCTGGTGCCTGTTGCGCTGCACCTGTTTAAGAGAATGCGTGATGGAGTGTGGCGACCAGTCTATTCATGCCGCAGCGACCGTTCACGTACGTGATCGGTCACGCATCGAAAAAAAATCGAAAAAATGGAAGTGGGGCGAAGTGACAGTAAATCCGCAGAGTCAAATGCTTGTTAGCTAGGCAAATTAATTACTGGTACATGCTTCTGGGCATGGGACTGTATGTACATACATTGTATGAAGAAGGCCCAGAGGTCTACATCATGTATGTTGTACTTGCATGTACGATGAAGTGATGAAACTTGGAAATGGTTTCATTCCTAAAGTGCTATTCGTTAATATTTTCCGATAGTTTTACAAGAAATATTAAATTAACAGAAGCAGCCAAGAACATGATGAAAAGGGCAAAGGTTTCCTCTTGTATATGTTATGCCCCAACAATGCTGCTGTTGTTAGGCTGACCCAACTATTGTTGGCCATACTCTGTAGAAAATGTCTCAACCTTTTCCGAGTTTATGCAGCTCACAACTGACATAAGAATCTGAAATATGGCACACCATTACAAAAAACCTATTTCTGCATACACAAGTTGCTGACGGAAATAAAATGGCTTAAATTGCATGCACACACTGTGCTGTAGTTGGGCCAACTATAGCACTATAGTCAGGACGGTCCCAACTATAGTTGGGCTAGTCCCATCTATACATGTAGACGGGACTAATGCTGTAATTGGGGCCTAACATATACATGTAGTCAACATAATGTCATCTTGGCTCAATTTTAGTCCCAACCAGTCCGGTAGGTCTTACATGTGCATATTGTACATGTCATCTCCACCATATTTGTATTAGTTTCTGATGATGAAACAACCTCATAATATGCATATTTTGGCATTTGAGTACAGTGTATTGCCCTATTTGCCGGAAGGCTTGTGTTCACTTGTGAGAGAGTTCCACATCACTGACAGAGACGAGACTGACGCACTTGATGTTCATGTACATAGTACATGTACATGTATGTGGAGTGCACAGTCTACCAACATGAAGCACATAACACACTGATCACACTATGAAGCAATTCTTTACAAGCCCCCACCCCAAGCACATGGAGAAAAGATCAACTTCCTTGTTTTCTGAATTCAGCTGGTGAGTCTAGTATCCATGCTGTCTGATAAGCCTTAAAACCAAAATGTGTCTGCATGTGGTAGTGTGTACATGTAGTTGTTAATTGTAAGATATAAAGAATATTGACTGTTAAATTATGATATAGAATACTATATAGAATACATCGTGTACATTCATGTACAGTACGTGCCATAGGCTTGCATAAATTTCTGTACATAACAGTATATAAATTTCAGAAATTGAAAACCTGCTGGCTGTGCAGCTCTGTGATTAGAGTTCTGTGAAAAATCATGGTTTTGCCATAGATTGTAGTGATGTAGCCCCGTAGTTATGGTTTACAACCTGAGATCATAGTGTGTGATTTAGATTCAAATCCAGCATGGCATAAGTTATGACCCCAGGCAAAATCATTCTACCCGGATAGCATTCAGTTTCATACATGTATCAAGCTTCATGCATACATGTACATGTACATAACGCTACGTGTATCTCCAAGGGAGCAGAAATGGTTATTCATTGTATTACCAAGGTACATGTACATGTTTATGGATTGATAGAGCAGGGATAGGAATGATACAGGTGTCGCACCTTGATTGCTGTTAGTGGCATACGTACATGTACATGCGCTTTATGATGCTTGCCAAGTTATGTAGCAGTGGGAACAGCTAAAGGAACACATGTACGCTGTCGGGTTTCCTCCTCATTAACATCTTGGGAAACGACTCTCTCCTGTTTTGCAGAACCAGAAGTGACTATGGTAGCGGTGAAAACAAGGAACGTTTCAGCTACTTCTTCTGCCTCGTCCTCGTCCAGTGCATTATCAATGCCATATTTGCCAAATGCGGTAAGGGACGTAACAGCACCTGCTGAGATTGCTGGCCTGTTACAATATTTCCCAATTCTGTGACCTTGTGAGAGCTTTAGGGCTGCATGGATACAAGGTTTGCTGCATGTATAGTAATAGAATCCATCCTTCCCAGAGCTCCAGCAGTACATGTGGTATTGTAGTTGGGACCCCATTGGACCCATCTCAAGACCTTCCCCATGACCAACATAAGACCTTTAGTCTCATTTCAAGTCACAGTCAAATTCAAGTGAACAGCAGCTTAAAGCATTCCATCGTCTTTGGTCTTTGTCAAACCTGTTACTTGTGGCTTGTCATGAGACTTGTCTTGTGATTGTTTTGACTGCTCAGCAGAAGTCGTTTGTTTGATGTCCTTTATCTCAGCAATATCCACTCAAGAGAGAACCTACAGTTTAGATTACTGAATTCAATAGAGCTTGTTTTCAACTACTTCCTGCCAGAGGGACATGAGCATGATCTTCCATAACAAGAATCTTGTCAACCTATTCTGGCAATTTTATTATCAGAAGATGGCCTGTACACAGTGCACACACCCTCATGCAGTTCCAATCAGTTTTGCAAACATGCAGAGGACCTGATTAATCAGAGTCGGCTGACTACAATACCCTGACTTGGCCGTGTGCCTGAACCCTGGCTCTAGGCTTGTAGTAAATAATTGCCCTATGGGATAATCTCAGAAGTATAAAAGACTACAAAGTCTCTTTAAAATATTCTTCAGATACCTCTCAAGAGTCAGCATTGGTTTTGTTTCTTGTGTTGAAAGGTGACCAGTGGTGTCTTGTCATTTTGAAAAGTCTGATTCTTATGTGCCAGTTCAGTATTGTGAAAATTGAATGCACGCGATACCATCAACTAGTGCTAACGGATTGTAATTCTCATAGAGGTCAACTTTTTTTCACTTCAGTGCAGGTACATGTATGTGTTTCCTTTCTGTCTGGAACCCGCCCCCTTTGTGGAGTTGTAACTACTGGGTTATACATGTAGATGTCCAGTGGCATTTTGACATCCATCAGATTTTGTCCTTGTTGGGAACTCTTCATTGACTTGGTACTTTCTTCATCTTTTTTGGTCAGTCTTGTTCTTCAGTAAGCCGGGTAAGGATAAGACCACCACCAAACTCTACGCGCTGTGTTCCATCACGTACCTGGGGGCCATGGTAGCTAGCAACTCGGCTCTCAAATACGTCAGTTATCCTTTCCAGGTCCTGGGCAAATCTTGCAAGCCGATACCCGGTAAGTTATCAAAAAAACTTATCAATCAACGGAATCTTTTCAAGTAGTCCAGTTATTAGTTAAATGTTCCCCCATCCAATTGTGAAGTGTTATGCCATAGTGGAGCTCACTCTTCCAGTGCCGTGGTTTCTCCCTCTATGATTGTTATCGTCTCTGTCTGCAAATGTTAATAAACATGTATGGGAAAAACACACCTGCTGATATATAGATGTCATGGGAACTACCACATTCCAGCGAGAGATTACAGTCCCCGCAACTCAGTCTTGACTACATTTCTAACAAGAGTGATTGCCCCCATAAGACATTGGAGGCCTGGGCACCAGAACCCTTGAAACCTAGGAGGTTGGGGAACACTCTATGGCCCATTATCGCTGTGCATCAAGTGCCCGTGTGCGGACCAGTGATACTATGATTGTTTTTGTGTGCAGTCATGCTACTCGGCGTGTTGCTTGCCAGGAAACGCTACTACCTCCTCAAGTATTTCTGCGTCCTGCTGATAGTTATCGGTGTGGCAATATTTGTTTACAAGGACAGTAAAGCATCTTCCTCAGCAGCTGAGAGTGTCTTTGGATACGGAGAGCTGCTTCTGGTAAGTGAAATTTAGAGTTGTCGTACTTAAGTTGTCATCTAAGTCCTGTACGCCCAAACTCCTAGCATTTTGCTTGGAAGTGTTCGGGGTCCACTGAAAACCTTCACAGAGCAGGACAACTCTGGAACCCTTCTTTTGAAGTTCCCCTTGAAACTTGATACCGGCCGGATTTACCTTTCTCATTGAGGAAGGACGCAGAAGGAATTACAACTCTGCTTACTGCCTGCAGCTTAGCCGGACAAGTGGGGCCAGTAATATCCTAATAATATTTGTGGAGTTTTCTTTGCAATTAACTGCAACTCGTCACAGTGACCGGGAAATAGAATAGCATTACAGAAAATATCTAGCATTAGGGTAATTCCAGAAATTAGGGGTCCATGTTTTTGTGTGTCCCTGTCACATCTGACGTATGGTTTTATAAGTTCAAAACACATTTTCTCATTTCTAAGAGTGATGAATGAATGCAAAGTACCTGCCAAACAAATAGTAATAGTTTGAAATCAATTCCGGTGATATTTCCGTGTCAAACAACAAAGGCCAGATGTAACAGGGACACAAAAATGTCACACTTTTGGACCCCTAATTTCTGGAATTACCCATTACTTTTTACTTTTGCCGTTGTGAATAAATTTTTAAAAACCTTTTGATGCACTTCTCCATTATCCATGCAATATATGTAACTTATTTTGTCCCTCCGAAATATCAGTTTTCAAAGTCTTTCAAAGACTTTGGCTAAGACTGGCCAACGACATGTTGACCACCACAGGACAGTTAAGTTCACGAAAAACAAAATGCGCTGTGTCATTACAAGAGTGATCATGAGATCTCATAAAATACCTTTTTGTGTAAATTCAGTAATAAAAATGATTCAAATAAAACACAACAACAACTTATAAACAACTTGGCTATTTTTTCCCAAAATAAGTCCAGGAGAAAGCATTCGATAAGGGCAATAGCTGCATATGAACACTTATGGCACACAGCCAAATACAAGCAATTGTACAAGCATTAAATTAGATTTTGTTGTCAGATTATACCAAGCACAAACGATGGCATGAATATTCAACTTCCTATACTGCAGTACACAATGTTTTAAGGATGCAGATTACCAGCGAAAAATTATGGTGATGATCATGGGGTACAAAGGGGGCTTATGGGTGTGAAACAGGTGGTGTGTAGCAAGCATTCGCTGCGCTCTGGCCATGGACATACCGGGCATAACAGGAAGTGGTAATTGGCTAGATGTTGTAGCCCGGGCAGTTCAAACTCCTTCTGCGTCCTTGCTCCATGCCTTACCCAACCTCCGAGCCAGACAATGCTGAGCCATTCTTTCAGTGCTACCTCCCAGCAATTTTTATGTGCATATGTAAGTCTGGGAGTGTTTGTTTCTCCTTGTTTCCTCCAAGTAGTATTCTCTACAGCCACCAATGAGTGTCCTCCATAGGGCACCTTATCACTAGCCACAGCCGTAAATTTGTGACCCAGCTGCAGTTTTACAAATGGAGAACTTGTGTGACCGGATCTCACAAAATGGGTCTTATGTATATATTTTTCCGTTGTTTTGCATTCGAAAAAGGTGTTGAGACCTATTCATTTTGATGTGTCACTTAGTTCGCTTCTAGCTTTCTACTAAATGCAAACAATATTTGCATAAAAGAGTTGAAACTTTGCATTTTACAAGTTTTTTTTAAAGGAGTGTACTTGAAAGTTTTCAGGGTGACTTGATGCTCATTGATTGAGTTGAGTCAGGTGCCCTGCCTTGCATTTACAAAGATCAGCTCTGGCACTGTAAACCCAGATTGCTTCCTTGACCTTGGACGGACTGACGGGTGTGACGCAAGAGAAGATGAGGTCAGAGCACCAGACGGGCTCCCATTACATGATGGCCAACGTCAACCTCTGGTCCATCCTCTATCTGACAGTCAGTGAGTATACCTGCATCTTCCCCTTTGATTGCTCCTGTAACTCCTGGACCCTTGAAACAGTTACGCGAGAAACCACACTGCCTGGGCCGCATTCGGTAATAATGCAGTATGTGTGTAATTATCTATAAGCCATATTGGCATATCCCTGGTGTACATGTATCTTCACCTTAGGAGGTAAGCAGGAATGGAATACGGATGGTAACACTGAATGTGCCCCTTGCTATTGAGATAACACCACGTTTTCATACCAGTAACCTTCAAGGATGACCAGGCTCTTACTCACAGGGAGCTTGGCCTTTCTGAGACATTCTTGCAGTAATAAGTCTAGGTTGTAGCTGCGGGCTGTGCAGTAAATTAAGTTATGTTTTGTTGGTCATTTCATAAAGTGACCAACACATCTTCTCGATGAGCACACACCTTGAAGTGATGCACATGTATTGTGTTAGACAATGTGCATAAGATTATTTCTTCGAGTGTTGCTATCAAGATACAACCAACGATGTGGCCCAAGCTCCCTTAACCACTTGCTGCCAGGTGAAATTTGAAGTTGCATGATGTAAAACTGGGAGATTTTCAAGATTTTCCGTTTTCAAAATTCTTAAAAAAATCTTAACTTCATTTACTGGATGTTTACACCCACACAAATGACTGTTTGGTGGCTACTCTAATCTCACAGACAAAATCTATTGATGCCGGAGTATTTCAGCCAGGCCTGCCCCCTGTTAAAAAGAGCCCAGATGGTGCGGTGTTACATAAGTTTCTTTTGTTCCCCGAAACTGGCACAGTGTGCTTCTGGCGTCTTTTCAATACGGGCCAGACATGCCAGATTAGCGTGCAGTAGTATCATTCATCACTGGGGCACTGGAGTGCTTTTGTCCCAGGTGGTAATCTACTCGGGCTGAATTCCACGAACAGTGGTATAATCTTTCAAAACAATGACAGATTTCCTCCTCTATTGACAACTGAATGTTGAAAATGTGACAATGTTAGCTATTCCCAGCAGCTCAGTCTTTTGTTCCGAGTACGGTCTTTTGTTATAAGGCCTAGCTCTTTTGTCTGGTTTCGGGCTCCCCCGTTTCGTGTATAAAGCCTATGTGTCCAAAACCGGGCTCCCCCGCAGCTTGTTAAAACTGAGGAAGACAGAAGAGTTGTGCGCAATGACAAACAGCCTTGATTCCCTGAATCAAGCTATAAACAATTTTGCTCCTGTTCTTGTTTCCCCCCCCCAGCTGTCTTGGTGACTGGTGAGGGTTTACATTTTCTGGAGTTTGTCTCTCGTTATCCCTACGTCATTTGGAACATTCTCACCTTCGGAGTGGCAAGTGCCCTTGGCCAGGTAACACCTAACATGTCATTTTACTTTTGCCTTCTCAATTTGGGGGCTATTTGATTTATGAAGTGTTTTATGAAGTTACCACAGGCCTCTTTCAAAGATATTATGGTAACCCTAACCCTGCCAGATCAAGCAAAATCCAGCATGTGTACAAATCTGTGGGACCCTGTTGCACTTTGTAATCAACAGCTGCCAATTCAACTGTCAATTTTGAGACAGTGAGAGTCAGTCTCATAGGCAATCTCAAACGCCAAGGCTGTTAGGCCTTCCAAGGGGATATGTGCATTGACCGGTCGGATATTGTGTCACGGGGACAGCTCCTCAGTTTGACATGTGTTGATGTTGTTGGGTCCAGCAGGGTCTCCTAGCCAAAATACTGTGAAGGATTTTGGTTAAACAGTCACTGTGACAGATTTTTTCCTGGACTGAATCTTCTAATGCACATTTGCATGCCATTTTTCCCACGCAATATTGTGAGCCTGTTTAGGGTCTTTTGGATAATGCTACTTACATGATAAAGTAAATTCTCCATATTCATAACTAAATCTGATCTCATAATTAGGTTGAATAGATGCTTAAGGCCAAGGTGTCAGGGAAGGTTATTTTTCTTTAAATTTCTATTTATCTCGTTAATAGTATAATAATCTATTTAATTCCACTGTAAGCATTGTTAAAATGAGCTACATTTCAGGATCGCAGTTTCCATTTCCACAGAACATCCTTGCACTGGATAGTCCAAACCTGCGTGACATCAGAAATTATGGCAAAGTGCAGTTTCAAACGTTTTCTGTAATATGCATGTTCAGCTTAGAGGCATTGATACTTTATTTACCAGTGTAAAATTTGTAGAAAACCCCAGTGCTGCGTTGGTTTGTGCCCAAGAAAACACTGGATTTTTTTCAGATTTTTAAGTTCTAAATTTCCTTATCTTCAGTGATTTGCTTTGTTAGCAGCCTGTAAATGGTAAACAACCAATCAGCAACTCATTCTCAAAACTGTGTCCAATGAGAGAATGGTGGCTTTACAGTTTGAATCTACCGTACAAACTGAATAGTGTCTCCGGTGAATGACATCACAGCAACAGTGCGGAGCCCTCAGTTGTCCAAAAAAGCATGGGCAATTTCATTTTTTAAAGAAAATGCACTTTCCAATACACTGTACCCAGAAAGGGTGGCAGATAGTTTCCATGCCTTGAAGAGCAGTGTTACAAGTTGCACCTAAGAGAAATCTAAGAAACATTCAGAGCACGGACCCTTGAACAGTCTAACAGGGAAAGTCTAACAAACCATATGACAGCGAGATCCGGCTCAAACCAAGCACTGTCATCAGTTTGACAGGCAACACTTCCTCCCCCCAAGGTCCTTAGCAACCCGAGGTACCCGTAGAACTCTTTCCTTCCTCAAACCTCATGATTCAACTTCTATTTCCCCCACCTCTCTCCTCCCCCCCTTTTTTGCACAGCATTTCATCTTTGTCACGGTCACCACCTTCGGCCCGCTGACCTGCTCCATCATGACCACCACCCGGAAGTTCTTCACCATCCTGGGCTCAGTCATCCTGTTTGCCAACCCGCTTCTGCCCAGGCAGTGGGCAGGCGTGGCCCTGGTGTTTACCGGTCTGGGACTAGACAGCCTGTATGGGAAGAGCAAACCCCAGCAACCCAAGTGAGGGCCAGTCGTTGTAGCAGGACACCTGGCAGGGTACAGTGTCAATAAGTTACCTTGATTGCGGTGTACAGTTAGCCATCACCCAAAACAGATTGGATACAGATTGATGAACCCTAACTCGCCCCCCACCCATCAAAACCCAACACCAGGCTATGCTTTATTTCAATAGATTCAGGACTGTTGACTGTTGTTGACTGTATAACCCTAACACCATTGCTATCCATGAGGCTTGACGTCCTGTGTCCAGTGTTGGAGTCGACTCCATCAAAAACCCTTGCACGTTCATCACAAGTCATCCATTTTGAAGCTAAGTCACAAGCTATTCAAATCAACTTGTGAGAGAAGCATTCCTCAGTCCTTCTTTACCCTGTTTCTTGTGAAAGGACTCGCGATGGACTCGACTGTCACACTGCCCGGTCCAGTTGGAACAAACACTGCATGGTGATGGTTAAGGGCATGTTTAGGAACAAACAAGGGGAAAGACTTCATATCTCAGGGGATTAATATCAGGAAGCTGTTGACCAGTACGACTGTGCTGATTATTCAGATAATTGATCGAATATTTAAATATTCATTTTTAAAATTGAATGGTGGGTATTAAGAATCCTTGAAATAAAACTATGAAAATTCAATTATTTGGTCACAACATTTCATTCTAAAAGCACATTTCGAGGGTTACAAGTAAACTGGGAAGCTGAATGCATATGCCCAACAACAGAAATGCCCCCCTTCCCCCAAAATTGCCTTTAATTTCTTATTTCACTTTGTGTAAAACATGTATATCTGGTTTATTTTTGGAGCGGCTTGATACAGCCGACTGAACTAAATATTTGATCGAATGGAAGGGTCGAGTATCTGACTATTCAATGATTCCAATTGATTCAGTCTTACTAATTAGATATACCTGCTGAACGAGTGCTTTATCGGGCCACTACTTACCTTCCATCATTTGGCTAATAAAATAAAACTACCAAAAAGTGGAAATCTGATGGAGAAACACTAACTTAGGGTTAAAAAAAAATTCAAAATTTCTGTATAAGTATTCGAAATTTTTCTGTCATGACCCATGGACTTTGTGTTTGAGATCTGAGGCAGTGATTAGATACGGAACTCTTTCCAGTACTCCTTACCAACTTTGCATGCTGAGGAAAAGTAGCTGAAAACCATTAACAAACTGCACATTGTACATGTACATGGCCACTCGTGGGCCAGGAACCCGTTTCTTTTTATGCAAACATCTGTTCTGCTCAGCAAATCTAATGTGCTCAAAGCAGATCCATGAAGTTGGCTTATGCTCAGAAGAATCTGTCTTGCCTTAGAATGACCACTTTGGATAACTTAACACATTTCAGCTTCTGAGGGGTACGGCTACTCACCAAGGATCTGACTGTTTTGATTCGAATCAATAAATAAATTGATTAAAAAGATTGCATTGCCATTTCGTAATTGGGGAAGTTCCAAATCTTTATCTTTCTTTTGTGAATAACATTGAGTTACTGTTTGGGTTGCCACATGTTAGCAGTATTACCCAATTAAAGACAAGTCTTTCAAGCTTTGACGTGTACAAAGAAAAGTCACACAAAATACAGCAGAAACAGCAAAGAGTTTCTTATCCGTAACTAAAATTTCATTGTCCACAATACAGAAACCAAATTAAATGCTTTCCTACAATGAAGATGAGAGCAGCAACTTCAAGTACCCGTACTTCGCTTTTAAAATGTGAATTTCTGGAGGTTTTATGTCACATTTTGACAAATATTTCATGTAGTTTAGTTTTGGAGTGTTTCAATTCTGTATACATGTATATTTAAAATGGTTTCTGAAAATGTGTATTTATTTTTCAAAATAAATATTGGCCTTTTAAATAAACTTAATGCCTAGGTTTTATTTAGCCACTGATATTTTAAGATTAAAAAACAAAACCTATAATCTCGATCATTGACCATTTACGTCCAGATAAAAAGCATAACAAGGGTTGTCGTGTAATAGTAATTTGTCTAGTTCGTTGAATTGCATATCAACTTGAACTTTTTGTGTGTGGTTGTGAAAAGTAATTCCTATCCTGCTTTTGACTGAATATGGGCGATTCACAATAGTGTGCCTCCAGGAGTTTGCAACGCGTTGACCAATCACGATGCGCGAAATTTGTCGACCCGATGCGCATCTGGAAAGGGTCGACGGATTTCACGCGTTGTGACTGGCCAACGCGTTGCAAACTCTTGGAGGCGCACTATGGATCAACGAACACGATACTACCTACCCTATACTTGTAACCACGTGGTATGTTCCTCATGAACTTTGTTTTTAAAGATTTCCTTTGTCAGCTCGCCCAAATACGCGATACATTGTAAGTTAGTTATCAAAAGTATCGGTTTTCTTTTTTGTCTAGCAAAATTCAAAACCTCAGAGAGAATTTTTGTTCTGTTATTAATCCTTTTGCCTATGAAGCATTCTATTATGATGCTTCGCACGACTCTACAAAAATGTATTATCCACGGCATTAAGCTAAAGACTCTGATGAACATAGCAAACAATGAAGAACGCACTGAGCAAACCCTAAATTATGAAGTACATGTAATTTAATGTTTCCAAGCAAAAATAAATTCATGCGGTCCAACTGGGCGACGTGCCGTGATGTCCCTGCTCTAAGTTGTAGCCAAAAATTCTGAAATCCCATTGGTACCTTTTGTGTAGCCGATTGATGTCAGTGGATGATAATTCGGCGAAGTACGATGCTATTATTTTGGAAGTCGAGCTGTTTGTAGGACTGCTACCACCAGCATCTGGAAAGGAAACCAACTTGTCGATCTTCGCGAGTTTAAAAAGAGCCCTCGAGTCCGCTTTGATTGTTTCTATTTTCCCGACAAACGTGTAGTTGATCTGACAAGGGCGACACCTGTGTACCATGCTGGTCCAATGTTTGTTGGCCATCGCACTACGGTTGCTGACGTATCTTACAAACTCGCGAAACGTCAGATTGCCCTCTTGGGCTTCTGAACCCAATTCCACAGGCGGCGGTCCGTTCCGGCCCTGATTTTTGATGCGGTGAACCCACCCCTTCCACAGATTGTGGCCATTGGGTGATTCCTTGGATTCCAGCTTGTTTCTGAAGGCAGACAATAATCTAGTGAACGGATTCCTCACGAAAACGATTTTGGTGTAAGTACTCAATATAGTTCGCACCTCACTGTCCGTGTACGAGCTTAATAAGCGTAAGCTTTCCATCGCACCCCTATGGACAAATTTCTGTTCGACATCATTTTCTTTTTCCAAGACGCCTTTCAAGACCAGGAAAATCCGTACCCAGCTGGTGCTGGCCACCTTGGGGACAGAGCAGTACAGAAGCCGGTAGTTGTCATCGACGATTAAGTGCGTCAGTGCCTGCTTTGGAAGTTTCTCGAATGTTGGGACATTTCTTGTGAAGTTGGCCATTGCTTGGCAACCCTCGCGAATTTGACGTTGACGTTTCTGTTGAACCAATACCTGAGTTACCATGAATTCATCTTCGCTCTGCGTATTTATCTGAGGGCGAAATATAAAAATGTCTACCGTCAGAGAATAACACTGAACATGTTTGGCACTACAAACAATTTTCTTTAACGCTGGCGATAAAGCAATTCTGTAAAATTGAAACTACATTGCAAATTAAGTGAAAATGGTTGAATACTTGCTACAGCCCTTATTTACGTGGAAGCCATTTTCAATCTTATTCCCGGAATCCGTTTAAGAACTTGCAAACTGTCGATTGGAATGGCACCAGACCATTGCCGTGTGTCCCAAGCCTCCCTGTCAATATATATTTCTAAATGTGGGTTAAAACACCAGGTTACATTATTCAAAATTATTCATCGGAGTGTTTGGCAGGTACTAAGTTGTCACGAGGTTTCATTTTATTGCTTTTATTTCTCAACATTCAAAACTGAAGAGTTAATCTCGCTTTCAATGTAATTCGGCCGACCCATGAATAAAATCTCTACTCGGCTTGCAAAAATGCCGAAATGTATGAAAGAAAACAAAATGCGAATCGCGAGATTGCATCCTTGGATCAATGTGACTTTGGTTTTCCAGGTTATGCATAACTTGAGGTTCCGTAACAGTTTTGTTAAGGTACTATCAACAGATTAATATTTTGATTTTGGTGGTTACACTTGCACACAGTTGCAATATAATTTGAGAGGAAAATAGATCACTAACTGTACACACTCTGAAGGGAAATGGCTCGGAGAATTTTCTTTTCTAAAGGATCTTGCATTTTTAGAGCTGTCTCCAATGTGCATGAGAGAGTCGAAAAATGAAATGAAATGATGGGATTTTTAAAATGAACATGGGCTGCAAGTTCCCTACACGTCCGGGTCCTTGCAACTCATCTAGACGTGTTTTACATGCTGTCTAGCCAAGGTGTTCAACTGTTATACTTTTTGTTTAGTGCCATGAATGATGGAAAGTGCGCCCTCTAGACGATGTTGCGCTGTCCTGTGTCCAACATCTATAAACAGTGGTATAGAAAAGAGAGAAGTACAGAGAAATAATACAGAAAATACAAGCCTTGGGAGATGAAAACGGAAGAAGAAAAAAGGTCTACGCACTACGACGTACCGGGTGCGCCCCCAACGACATACTTTGTCTCCATTGGCCACGGTTCTCATATTGGTACGGGTTTTGCCTGTTACAATAACACTCAATGCGCTCATACATGTGGGTATCACTCCATTGTGGATGGCTAGGGGTGATGTCAGGTGGATCTGTCGAGGGTTTTTATTACCTTAGTTTGTCTGTTTATTGCTCTTGTCTGTCGATATCCTTCCATTTTAATTAATGTACGTGGCGCTAATCCGTAGTTTATTTTTTACTTATCTATTAGTATTGTGGGTTAGGCCTACGACTGGGAATAAGATCAGACATGGCTTTATACCTTTTGGTAAGGTTTTGGTCTTGCTTCGGTTGGTGTGAACAAACAGCAGAAGAACCACCGCTGTGCACATTCCTGTTACCACAAGTCCAAGTTGCTTGATGCGCTTAGTTGCCAAATGCATTGTTCCCTCAAGATTGCCTATATATGTACGAAGGTTAAAGGTTACGTTATGTGTCACAAGTTCCATATCCACAGATGTTGTGCCTATCAACAGAGAGAGGAAAAGAAAGCACAGTAATACAACTCCACTGAACTAGAACAGCATGACCCCGAATAGCGGTCCCTGATTTGTTCACCAGAGTCTTTAACTAGTGCGCAGTACGTGAAATGTGTTCTTTTCACAAAAATAATCTTGAACAGCAAGCTATTCTGAATGTAGATCATTGTGGACCTTAAATTAGAACACCTATGGAGGTCACGTCCATGACCCTTTGTTAATAATCTTCAAACATGGCGAGAGCATCAAGAGTGAAATACGAAGCCCTAGTCCCGACGTCATTCTCAGCCAATCAAATACCTTCCTTGTTGACCAGAGGAGGATGGATGCAATGATGCCCGCATTCTGTTTTATTTGTTTTTAATGTTTCTTTTCTTAGAACTTGCATGTTAGGCATTTAATACCTCTGCATTGATGTGGTTGTCCTAAAGTTGCCGTCTTCGTTTGAGTTTCCTTACTCTGACTCAGGGAAGTGACCGATCAACCCCCCTCCAAATGCAGCAATTTTCGTGGAAAAAGAATAAGAAAAGGACGATTTGGAAAGCTGTTTCACATTTTTCCCTAAAGCGTGCAAGAAGCTCCTAAACTTACATGTAGCCTCACCCCTCAGGAAAGCCATCGAAGGTTGTGGCCAACATTCTTTGCCCCCCCCCCCAAAAAAAAGAGAAAATCTTACCCCTCTCCCGAAATTTTGGTTCTTGATCTGCCCTTGACTCAAGGTATCATTACTGCACAATCTTCCCGAAACTACGCGAAGCGTTTGGAGCTCAGAAATTTACGCGACACCCGGACGTGTCTGGGAAGGAAACGGCCTTCCTTCGAGTGAAAGAAAACCCGAGTGTGCAGAATAACAGGTTCTAGATGAAACAGACGCTCAACAGGCAGTCCAGCCAATCAGATGAGGCACGTTTTCGTGAGCAATATGAAACCATTATGTTCTTCACTGAACGTATGATTAAAAGAATAAAAATAGACACGCACCATAATTTATACAATGGACTCGTGAAGATGATGCTTAAAGTGTAGCTGCAATGATTTTTTTCTCTGTCACAATTTTCCTGCAAATTTGTACTCCTCTGAAATATACTCGTCTTCAGTGCATGAGATATCCTTTACATTCCTATTCGGTTGAATGCATTAAAAAGTGGCCTTTTTAAAAACACTATGGAATTATCCATGCTTTTAATGGCGAGAGAGGGCGCTGTTCCTTTGATGTCATCCAGGGAAGACACAACTCAAGTTTTTACGTTCAAATTGTAAATCAAGAATTTATTTACTGAATACATTTCTGAGGAAAGGAATGATGGTTGCTTATTGCTATGGACAAACAGCAATGATTCTGCAGAGAAGAAAACATTTAATCCGGCAAAATCTACAAAAACTTGGCTTTTGTGTGTACAAACCAATGTAACATTTAGGCTTTCTTCTTTGGATGACATCACAGTTTGCTCATGAATGTGAAAATCTCATTATCATAAATCAAACAGGCAGTAAACTTGCCCTTTGAAATCGTGAAACAAAAGCTGAAAATAAGGTTAACTGAGACGCAAAGGTACATTTTGAAGGTATGTATTGAATTGATTGCAGGTACCCTTTAAATGATTTATGCTGACTTTAAAATGTCACTCGTTAGTGTACACCCTGAGACCTGCATAAATATCAAATTCCAAAAGAGCTTGGGGGATTCTGCCCCATGACCTTTGCTCCATTATCCTCGTGTAACGTATCTCCTTCACCCACGGAATTTTAGCAGTTGCTTTTTAGTAAAATGTTTCAGTCATTTGAACACCAATTGAGTGAAAATTCGGATATATTGTCAATCCAACATGTATCCTTTCTTCCATTGACGTGATCAATGGGAGCAGGACAACATGAGGCCATAATAAATTTAAGTGAATAACAACCAAAACTCCAACGACGTAATGATCAGGAGTGTCTTTACAAGCACAACAAAAATTCCAAAGGAATCGCTTGTGCAACAGCCAAGTTCTTGGGGCGAAATCTTCCCCCGGCTGTGAGACGGTCCGGAAAATCCCAGTACAGGCCACGCTATAAACAGATTTCTTTTACCACATCCCTTGAAACTGCACTTTTGTGCTTCAAGTAACCTTATTTTATTATTTTCAATGTTTGATCTGATCTTTAAAGGGTACTTTGGCGCCTTTCTTTTTTAATGTTAACAGAGTAATTCGTCAGGCTACAACAATGCCTACATCGACTCTCCTTTTACACTACAGCAACCCAAATCTCATGTAATATTTCAACACTCGGCACAAGGTGCACCGGTCGTGACGCGCAGACTCGAGTAAAATGGTGTTTTTGACTGCCCACAACAGAATGTTAAAGGCTGCATGCGAGGAATTTTTCTGGACACACGGCATTGTTTGTGAGTCTCAGTCCATATCTTCAACCTATTAACATCGATTTGGGGTAAGGCACTTTGCCTAAGCTTTCTGGACATTAAGGGCGCCAATTGCCTTGATGTCAATCAGAAAAGACATGGTTCGGATTTCGTGGTTTCCTGTTCAAACTGCCCAGAATTTCCTCAAATATTTGCTTGATGGATTATTGACGCATACCTGCACATGACAATAAGTTTCCCCCAAAGGAACTTTGTAACGGCAACATATCAGAATTTTGGCGTTTTCTGGGGCCAGTGTAACACTGAGGTTTTTGTCTGGGATGACATCACAGTTTGGGCAATGGATGTGGGTTTTAGCATTAATACACAAACTCCTCCGGACTGAATGTCTCAAGTTTTTTATCAGAATAACAAGTTCACGCGTTCCTCTGTACATAAAACCTTACCTGAGCGGTAACCTTTGTTGATTGCCAAGTGCATGTGCCTTCTCGGGCTGAGAAGGTATATAGCCTCTAATTCCAATGCAGGCAGCTATACACCCGGCACTGAGCCCGCAATGGTGTCCCTCTTGCAGAAGCGAGATCGGAATCCAGACGGCGCTTTCTTTTGCTGCCCGGGGGGCCGGAAGAGCAGCACATTTATTTCAGAAGTTGAAGCCAAGTCCAACCCGTACTATGTAAGCTCTTCGGGCAGGCCGTAGATTTATAGTTATGTGCACAATCATGCCTTCAGATTTATGATATCCTCGAGTAGAAACCAGCAGTGAGCGTTGACCTTTGAGCTCACACGGTCTCTCGCTTGCTTGGGCCATGACCTTCGTCAATTGAATGTGTCGACAGATCACTGTGGATATAAAGGGGGCTTACCAAGCCCAACCGATACGGCGATGTGCTTAAGTTTACCATAGACTGTAGAATGACGTGTACGGGGGCGGGTGTATGACTTTTCCGGGGGGGGCATGCTTGTCAATTTTTTTTAAGGTCTTATTCCTTCAAGGACAGATGGATGCAAACAGAGGTAAGGCATTTTCATTGCTTCACTTTATACATGAAGTACAATATTATCTCTTTTATTACAGGTTTTACCGGCCAATTTCGCAAAATTTGTGATCTAATTTGTAAAATAAAATTTTATTTTTAGCGTAGATTTTGAAAACGTCTTGAAACCTGGTTTCATTTTCGCAATAACAAGCATTCGACTTCGTTTTGCATCCTTCAAACAAATGAAAGTACATTACGGTTCATTAAAGAGGTTACGAATACGTGGCTGGGATTTCGGATTGACGTGTTCCTTGCCAGTTACAACAAATGTGCATTCTTATTCGCTGAAAATCTGTCCTTTACAGTGTCCCTTCGGAAATGAATATTCATTTGCTATAATTTAATTTTGCAAAACATATGTTCAAGTTGATGAGAATATAGGCCTGAATACGAGGTTACACAAATCATGACACCACTTTGATAATAAATGTCATGTTACTCATTTATATTCTGTTTGTTATCAAACTGTAAAAGAAAATAAGGTTTTTATGGTTGTAATGCAGCTCAAGAAGGAAGGTTCCCTCAGTGCCGGTGTTTATAGGTTTCCTGCAATACTCCGTAAGTTCCAATGACAGCTTAAATGATTTATTTCAATCATGACTATTTAAACATTAATCAAACAACTCAACACATCTAAGAATGTAACTTCTGCTAGTACGCAAACGAATTCTAATTCTTGACCAGGCTTACTTTAAATGACACACAGGCGAAAACGCCTGCGTACGTGAATTTTGCGAAATAGCTTGAGTTCAAATTAAGATGAATGCATGATTGCAGGGGTGCATTCAGTTTCGCGCAAAAATGCATGTCAATATTCCAAAGCAGTACAATATCAGGAAATTGAAGGCTGACTCTGTATGACTGAATACACCCCTCCTTGAAATATAATTTCTATTTGTTAAATAGAAACGGGGATTTGAATGTTCGATCTATTTCGCTCGAAAACGAATGCTGCTATAATTCATTTACACATTTTTCGAAATTGGACGGGCGAACCTGTATTAATGTGATTGTTATTTCAATGTTTTTGCTATTCATTTATTAATTTTTGGTGTCAGAGCGGGTGGGGGAGGGGTTGGGGTGACCCCCGACCCCTTTGGATCCGCACCTGGTATACATGATTGCGGCGGCGAATAGGGTCACCGATCACTGTGGATGGTTATAATCATAATATATCGGAGGAAACCATGATCGCAGTGCATCTTATTTTAGGGCCATGCCTGATCAAGATAGGCCCTCAGGTAAATGCTGCAGGGAAAAATCAGTGAAATACACCATAAAAGTAACAACGCTAATTGATTGAAGCATTCAAATGTTCCCTGGAATGAAAAACAAACTGTGAAATCAAAGTTTTGACATTTTATCCTTTTCTCTTCTGACATTTTCCAAAAAGATTTTTGTTCATGTCGGGCTAGCTGTGTAAAATAGGATTAAAGCAATCAAATCGGCTCTAAAAGTTGCAGACGGTTATCATCCCTGTCAGTACAGCAGGAAATGATTTGGCCTACGAAGGTTTCAGGCGAAATAGTATAACTGTGCAGACCAAACACACTGCAGTGAATGAGTGTAATTTCCGACTCTGTCAAATCCGGATGGGAGACTTCACATAGAAAGGCATAAATGACATATCCCATAGTGAAACCTCTACTTCTGATAAATACTAGGACCGACTGCGCCCTGTGGTGCAGATAGAGGGATAAAAGGGCGAGGGTGGCTTCTCTGGCCGGGGACTGTTCCCTCATGCCGAAAAATTACACACCAAGCGGCAATTCGAGGTTTCATGTGCATCTTGTGGAGACTTCTGCCTGTTTTTGTCCTCGTGTATAACTGAGTGAGGACATTCACGCATTTCATCATTATAATTGGTTGTTTCTGGTTTCTACTTCTACCAAGAAGCACATTTTGTGCTGGATGCAACGTACACCGAAATAATGCGAGGGCGCTGCACACGAATTGCATTGTTGAAAATTAGTATGGGCATGCATGGACAGGTTCGATCACTGCAATGACCACAGCTATATAACCATAGTCCGACTATATCGAATGCAGGCCAGTTCACAATGGTTGGACTAGTCTAGTCAATTATTCGCGACCAGCCTGTCGAGGTTGGTCGTATCGTTGGTTGCCCAAAATCGTTTTTAATAGTACAGTGCAGAGAGGACCAGTTATGAGCAAAATGCCGGTAACACAGCATGTCATTAGTATACGACCATTTTCACTCTTATTTTTGCTATCTTGCCCTTCCTGCGACCATCTTTTCTCTCCTTCGGCTTAATGACCTGACGCTGACGGTTGACTAGGGTTGTTCGCACTTCAACTCCACGGCACATGCGCTAGGTACATCATGAACCGACCACTAGTTAACTAGTGGTCCTTGATCGAACTTGTCCCATGGTGAGGGCAGTTTCATTCCCTGCAACCTTTACCTACGTCAGCCAATTTAAAAAACGGGGAATTGTTTCCCTGTTGAATGGATCCAAAATTGTTATGTCGAATCAACTATTCGTACTAGGAATGCGCACAACTTGAATACACTCCAACTGAGGCGAATTTCGTTGCAAATGTTTTGTGACGTTAAGTTGCTTCACTTTCACGTTTGCCTGAAGTATAAACAGGCCTTTGAATGCAAACGGTTTGCTGTCAGTTATGTGTGATGCTCACGGAATCACGCATGCCGCACATGATAGCGCCCTCTTGTGGTCAGATTTGTGACGATCCCATCAAAATCCAGTTGTTAAAATCGTGCAAACAGATACAAGCGAATTATGAGGCATCTTCAACACAAAGTGAGACGTGTTGATTGTTTTTCCTTCCATGCTTTCATGGAATACGACCAAATGCTCAGATATTTCAACAGCTTTACTCCGCAGCACCCACCTAGCACCTGAGTCTTACAGAATACCCATTGCCCAAAATGTAGGGACGCATGATTTAAAAGGTCCTGCTGTGCATCCCGAATCATATTAAGGTCTTTAAATACAGTTCAAGCAACACTTGTCCCTTTCCCTGTATACACCGCTGTTTGTCTGGCTCCCTTTTTAAAACTTAATTAAATAAATTGCCGAAATATAACAGTGAAACTGTGGTTCAGCTGGAGCAAAGATCGCTGTTGCTTTGCCAGTGAGGCCAAACCCACAAGCCCACTAACCACTGTAATATGATGTGCAAGGACTTTCCTGAAGGTGGGTAGGATCACGTGTCCGTGGGTTCCTACATATTGTCTTTGTTGCACCCCAGTTTTTGTCCACGAAATAGTTGAGCATGGACGCTGCTCGTCGTGGCGAAAGTGTTGGGCGTGATCGCTCGATCTTTGCGTGATCTGTCAATCTTGTATATTGCATGATTTGCCGAAGATTCCGCCATCGACCAATCGCCTTTTACTTTCTAATTTGCGGTTGTGAAATATTGATTTGGAAAAACGAAAGCAGTGTGGGAGGTTTCGTGTAGGATAGATTGAGACTGTAACACGATCACGCGATCTTGTTGATCGACTAATCCTGCTCCGTCAAATGCATTGTTTGGGCTGTGCATCATGTAAATAGATTGAACGCTCTTTGCTCTGTGTCAGCAAGAGATCAATCATGTATGAAACCGCAAAGCAATCGAACATTCACACCAAGTAGAATGTTAATCCCAGGTAACCTTTTGGTCTCTTTTGTTTCTCTTTGCTTATTTATTGAAATCTATTATATTCATGTAACCCTACAGTTGCGTTCATAACCAACTTAGTTGGGGGTATACCCGACTTCGTCGACAAAGTTTATAACAGTTGACAAAGTTGGGACGTAACATCTTCAGTACCCTTATCAATGCTCGTTTGTAACTTTGTTGTCCCATCTCTTCCCGCGCTGACAAAAGCAAAAAGCAAAAATTAAGAAAGAAATGGGAGTCCAGCAACAATAAAATGACATCTTGAATTTACATAGGTAATTTGCATTACCTATGTGTCTGCCTGATCGCAACAATCGGACGTAAAAAATCTGACAGGCCTGACTTCTCGAAAAAAATTTCTGGATGACGCCTGTATCAAAACGAACATTTGTCGCGACCCTTTATGCGCGTGGATCTCAAAAGCTATACAACTTGGGTGCTTATCAACCAATCGATTTGTCTCTAACGATGACAGATGATCGCGAATGAATCTTGACGCTGGACCGCATACGCCGCCCCCCCCAAAGGAAATGTCATGGTTATGAGCGGCAATATTCCCGCTGTGTTTGCCTTGATCGCCGAGGCGTGCTGTGGATGGCTCGGTGGCTTGTACGGATGATTTGTCCCCTGACGGTTGGGACGAGGTTCTTCTTCCGAGCTAGCTGTTTTCTTTTTGGAGCAAATAGAATGCCGAGTCAAGATGATGTGCCCATCAAAAACTGATTGCGCCAGGTCGATAAGAGGAAGGACCGACAGTCAAAGGTAAACATAGTTCCGTTGCAGGTGAGACGGTAACTCAATGCCCATCCCTTTTATTTCCTTGCTGTTGTTAACCTTCGTCAGATCTCTTTTTTCCCTTTTAAAATGTACACTGCTTCTGTATTGGTGCAAAGATTGTCATTAAAGAGATAACCTTTCATTTCATTTATACTCATGTTGGTGTAAAAAATGAACTTGAAGACTTTTAAGTGATTTTTGTCAACTTCCTAAGTCTAGATTATCTGGCGGGAAAACAACAAGAACAAAGACAACAGTAAAATCACCACAAACAACAAACAATTGTCTCTGACAGGCTGATCTCTCCCTTTTTTGGGTAGGTAGTCAAGCAACTTACAAATCAACCCAATCACTCTAAGATCAGTAACTCACTAGTTACCCTGTCAGCCAGTGTGTTACACCTACTTCAGTCTTGGACTTACCTCTGACAATCCTCATCCATAGCAACCATTATTCCTTTCAATATTCAAGTCTTCGAAGGGTTGGTCGAACAAAGTTGATGGGCGGATTTGCTCGTTGAATAAATTATGAACTCGCTGGATAGGTTGTGGCACACCTGTTTAGTGAAGCATTCATGAAAGATTAATATTTTGCGTGGGCCCGGCATGATAATTTTAACATTAATTTTGTATTACAGACAGCAGGGGTCCTGTGGTTAGTTTTGCCATTTGAGAATTAGAATATTATCGTTGATATTTTTGGCAAACATGACTTTGTATTGCCATGCACTATGAGGTTTTCTTCTGCTGCAGATGTTTTTACTGTCATTTTTTCGACGAAAAATCTGAAATTATTGATACGACAGACGAGGGCAGATCCAGAAATTAATTAGGGAGGGGAATTGTTTTTTTTTGGGGGGGGGGCCAAAATGAATTTTGATGTTACCTTTTATGGACTTTCTGAGGGGTGAGGGTGCAATTTAGAGCAGGAAGGAGAGGAAATAATCAACAATTGCCTTTGCCTAATTTATTCAAAATTTAAACAAAAATGTTTTTGTTCGTATGTGGATGTGTAAGTGGGAGGGGCAAGACCCCTTACCCCCTCCCCCAATTCACCCTTCTCGACGTTACTCCCACCTGCGTCTGCTGCAGGTGGATATTACGCAAAGACGGATGTGATTACAACCATCACGGAGACAGCGCAAGAACTCGTCACACTACGAGGACGTTGCCAAGGGGGGAATCGCGTCGAATACACAAATTGTACAAATGTCATAAATCAACGACTCCACAACCATGCATCGAAGGCGGAGCGGCTGGTATACACGCGGTGATGTGTGATGGGCACTGCTCGCTGTCTGCTCTATGAAAACTCTATCACCTCCCGATGCTGGGAGATGAGGGACGGGATTCTCCAGGGGATCTGGAAGTGGATTGGTGCATACAGCTGGGGTGACTAAATGATGTCTGACTTCTTAATGTTTGGAACAGGTACAACCATGTACATTGTATACAGCATTAGTCTACTTAGTCGCAGTCGCCTTCAAGCTTACGGGACGTGGTTGTAACGAGGCCACTCTATTGCACCTACACAAGCTGATGCCATTTCGGATTCTGTCCTAGTGCTCAATAGTCCGAGACATGCAGCCGTATCAGCGTAGCGGGACGAAGTCGGCGTAAATTAAGGGGAGCATGCTGTGCTGCTACGTCATTCGCTCACATCACCATATGGTCGGCGGGGATGTCTCCGTAACTCTGACTAAAAAGAAAAGTGCGTGAAAGATATTATAATAAAACCACTGGTCATCGCCGTCTGCATATGACTTAAACGGAGGCACGGCAGGGGTAAATTGAGGAATTCGATTGGTTGATGTAGTTGCTGGACACAGAGTATAAAAATCATTGCATCTTGAGCTGCAATCCTTCTGGTGACATTTTGCTGTGCCAACTGGTGGAACAATATATAGAGAATATACACCACGCGGGTACCAGTTGTTGGCAATCAGTGTCTTCGTAAGTACATTCTTTCCTGCCTTCTATTTCAAAAGTACCAGTCATTTCTGTACTTCTAAATACGAGTAACCGAAGCTGAAGATAGTTGCTTCATCAGAACTTTGCCACATTATTGTTCGACTGTGTAGTTGATTCAGCTAGTACACTTCACATTCCATGATTTCTTTTTCTTTCAAGTTTTAATTTGCTGTTCTTTCTGAAACAATTTGTCCGATAGACCAGTTTGAGTTAGCCTTAAATTACAAAAAACAACAATAACAACAAGGTGAAGGCCTTTCAAAATCCTACCAAAGACCACTGGGCAAGTTCCACGCACAACAGTTATGACTGACAAAACGTTCCCGACCCGCAAACTACATCAAACTTTATATTCACAACTTTCTTTCTGTCCACCTAACGCTGCGTGTAGGCCCACCAGTCATACATTTTTCTAAAAAATGCCTTCTCTTTGTAGCAAATTGTACCTGTCTCAATGAAGCCTGCACATCTTCCGAGAAAGAAAAAAAATCGTTGACATTTCGGAGAAAGCAATACTACTGAATCCGCTTGGACAAAAGATGTAATTTATATGTTGATTAGTGCCATGATGCCATGGCAACCAAAGGTAAATGCGTTCTCTCTTCATCCAGTGTGTGGTAACATATCATGATAGATTCAGAATGTTGTTTCGTATGAATGTAATTATGCCACCTAAATGTGGCGCCTTGCAAACGGTGTTCACACAGATCGTGGCATGCTGAAAATGTGGCAAGTTTTCATAAAATTCGACCCCTCAATTTCTGAGGATAGAAATGATTGCATGTCACTTTTGCCGCAGCACGCAAACTGCAGCAGCTGAAAAAACATCGAGGTAATTGAATTGTAGGTCAGTGCTTAATTCCTTCAAGACTGTCCGATTGAACGACGGGAAATCCCCTTCCAAGTATATGGAAAGCTATAGACTGTAGTCATAAAATAAGGCACTTGTCCAGCTTTGCGAAAACGCTTTAATTAGAAAGGTCTTGCTAGAGGCCTTTAGGAGGCCATTGACTTAAATTTCTGGACCCAGTTTCACTGAGCTGCTTGGTAAAATGTTCTATGTAGCAAATTGATTGACATTGAAGGAGGGCACCAACCACAACAAAGAATCTGTCACATGCTAACGAATACATTTTCTTTTCTTGGCAACTCTTTGAAATTGGCCGCCAAATGGACTCGACCTTTGAGGCGTACTTGACAAGGCTTATACAGTTGAACGTCGTGCAGTAAATTAAGAGAGGAAAAGAACACACTTGTGGTTATTTTTATAGGACACGTAGTACTCTATACAATAATGCTTTATACTGTGCGGAAATAAGTTGACATTTAATTGACAAGTAGGAGCGATGCTAGTCTGATCTGAAGAATACTTGTTCTGACCCGGACTCTCTAAGACAATTTGAAACAACGTACAAATGTGGGCTATAAAGCTTATAACCCTGGAGATACCCGATCGTCCGGGCAGATAAACCCAAACAACGTCTGCTGGCTGAAGATTCAAGGCGAATCTCTCGCGGAATTCTGCTCCTGGTAATCTGACTTGTAATCTGGTTTCACGGTCGCTCATGATTATCGTCTTAGCGGAGTCAATCATGGGGCCGTGGGCACACCGAGGAAAAAAAATCTCCACGAAATAGTTCCCGAAATACCTGTTTATTTGTTAAAGAATATCAAATTGCTGTCCTGCTAATCGCGATGTTTGATTGGATCGAGAAGACCTATTCAGATGGTAAAATTAGCACAACTCCTTGAGGGTTTAGATTGTTACTGCTGGAGGCCAGTCTACAGTCACGAGTTCGAACTTTGACAAGGTGGAAATTCAAGAGACACGAAGCCTTGTAATTTAGTCTTCAATATTGAATTATTGCACCGTAAGGACCTATTTTGAGGGCCTTTTGTGAATTGCATTCGCCCTAGTTCGGTTTTTTTTCGAATGACTAACACCACACTTCCATCAATGTTGCGGAAAACGTATCGAAAACTGTCTTGCGCATATCACCCACTTCGTGAAGTGTATCTCCCGTTAAACATCTGTTCTGATTTCATCCGATGTAAAGAACAGATGTAACAATAAAGTAACATTTTCGCATAAAAAATGTAGATTCCTATTTTCATAATGTAGCACGAAAACACAGGGCAGAACCAAGGGAAGTTCGTGGGAAATTCAAGTAGTGAATAAAAAAAATGAAAAGAAACCTAGCTGTGATTTCTCTGTCAGCTTCTATCCGTACTCCCACACATGTCAGATGGATCACTCGGATTTGACCAAAGCAGCGCAAGTGCATCCCAGCGCCAACTGCTCAAAAACGAGAGATTTATACCGGCTTATCTGGCGGCGTGAAATCAACCGCCATCACGCCTTACCTCATTGTAATAATGATATCCTGACATTTAAAAAACAAAATGTTCGGTCTGTTTCACGCCTCGCTGTCTGTTGCAGAGAGTTGCAATTTGCTCCAGCAACACAATCCACCGGATTTGTAACCCGAGAGTAAAACACTGAGAAAAAATAACAACAAAATTTAAAGGGAAAAGAAAAAAGGAAAGTAAAAAGAATAACCCTCTTTATACCTTTCAAAGGAAAGCTTTATTTCACTTGAACTGAAACAAACATACATCAAACAATGTAGACAAAATTAAATTATTTACAAAATGAAAGCGTTGGCAATGAAACGAACAGGACTAAATTCATCAAGAGTAACTTCCATTCGAATGGGAAATGAAATATTTATAATTAACCAGTAAAGAAAAGAAAAAAGGAGGAAAACTTCATCGTGATCAATATTCCGCGGAATTGCACCACTTGATGGTCTGAGTTTTATGCAAATCTGGAATGTTCATTTACCCATGTACATAACTCATAGGGAAGGCTATTAAAAGGGTATTCTTGTCACGAGTTAAGACAAAGGATAGAATGAATTTCGTTCTAAAAGGGCTTGATAATTAAGACTCTAACTAAGGTTTCGATTAGATACATTTGCGAGGGCCATTTCATGCACCACAGAGGGAATCCTCGACCCTCTCCATTTTTCAGTAGAGCTGTCGGGTTTATTTTCCACCGTGGAACTTATGTTCCAGATGTATCTAATCTGAACCAAGATTGAGAGAAATCAAACAAGAGGAGAAATTAACCTGATAAGGTAAGCATCCTTCATTAGGAAATGGTTGACTTGTTTTATCTTGGCACAACAGGACAGCAACGGCTTGTATATCGCGCCAGCATGCAGCTTTGCGTTCAAGGGTATTTATTGTCGAAAAATAAATAAATGCAATCTGTTACAGTCACATGACTCTGCCTCTCCAATTTATACATCAAACATAAGGGTCACAGTTATCAGCAATATCTATTTGTCATTCTCTCCCCATTTTGGTTACTATATTTTTCCTACACCGTGAACTCAAAGTATCAGCGTCGCATGCCCGTTCATACGCGGCCATCTGGTTTCAAGTACATGTATATTATATGCATCCGATGATGCCTATGCGTCATGCGTGGCTGATATGGGGGAGAATTTTGCATAAAACACCTTCCCGCTTAAAAGGGAAAATCCAGCTGCCGTCTGACAGTCGTCGGTGGTAGGCAGTTGAAGCCGTTCAAATTTGAGTAGTCTCATGTTGGGTCACGAACGGCCGCGGAGGTCCCCTACGGAAATCTGAGTAAACTTGCTGGACAACTCGGCAGCTCCTATATCGATACGGTTACCTGTTCTGTTCGTCTTTTTGCAGCTGCTGGAGTTCCCAGGTCGATGATCTGTACTTTAAGTCACCAACAGGTGGTAAGGTTCGACTTGATAAACCTATCACACAAATTCAAGTTTCTTTGGACCACCTTGGTTAACTTTGCAACCAACACCATAATCGCTTCTGTAAGTATGGGATAACAGTGTTTGGAAATTGAAATGGCGGAATACCGAATACTACTCAACGCTCTCCTCAGCCGCATTTCAACACGCCAGCTGTCTATTACGTACACCATTTCCAACTGTTCGTCTTGCCAATGAAATCCAACTTGTGAAATAAATTTGTATGCCACCGGATATAGACAGGCTATGAAATAATCACAACTAAAATCCACGATGATCGGTTTAGCTCCTCACAACTCCTCCATTGCGCGGTGCAAACCCGTATAAGCAGCATTTTGGGCAGTAGTGATGAGTTCATATTGTTTGGAAACCACTAACATTGCCCTTCTACCATGAGGAGGACACAATGACACAAAGAGGCGGTAGTAATCCGAAACGCCGTGTTTGCATAGGAAAATGAAAGCAGGCTTGTTATAACAAGCAAAATGAGAGAAACACACGACCCCCCCCCCTCGTGGCCGTCATGCCGACTGTATTAACTCAATAACAAAAGCAGAAGAAAGATAGAAAGGCACTTTCCGTGCACGACTGACAGGCCGCTGGCAAAATGCAGATTAATGAGACAGTCTCAATGGCGCTGTTTTAAATGCACAACAAATTAATTGTCCGGGGGGCCTCCAAAAATAATTCTACTCATGAATCAACGAAATAACTTACATTGAATCCGAGGGGTCCCTGGCTGATGTTGAGCTTATAGTATGGAAAGTATCATGTCAGGCATATGATTATAATGTAATGGAAAATTCTCAGCGACTTTAGAAATAGAACCGCGGTTGACATTTTAAGACTTTATATCTACAGGAAAATTAGTAGGCCAACATACACTTCTTGTATATCCGTGAAATAGACACATTAAACTCCATAATCTTCTTTTACATGTTGGCCATCTGTTATTACGCGACGCCATCACAGCAATGAAAAATAGTTTGTTTTTTATACCTCATCCCGATCCACTGTGATTTTATTTTGTTCTTTTACTGGAGTGTAGTTTTCCTTTTCCCAGTACGCTTATAAGGGTCAACGGCAAACATTTATTTACCTAAATTCACGCAACTCATTTAATTACACCGTCCAGATGGAACTCTTTCACAATTTATTTCCCACAAGTCCATCTTGAGT